GATGTACAACCCAGTATATTATATAACTTACTAAGTGATCACCCTGTAGTCCAGTACCCATCTGACACCATACATAGTTATACAATATTAACATTACAGTATTCTACGCTGTACTTTACATACCCATGACTATTCTATTAGTTTGTACTTCTTAATTCCTTCACATTTTCACTCATCTCTCCCAGCCCCCTCCTATCGGGCAACCATCAAAATGTTCTGTGTGTCTATCAGTCTGTTTTTGGTCTGCTTGTTCATTTATTTTGTTCTTTAGATGCCACATGTAAATGAAATCATATGGCATTTTCATCCAACTTATTTCACTCAGCACAGTGCTATCGAGGTCCATCCATGTTGTTGCAGATGGCAAGATTTCATTCTTTTTTTTTTTTTTATGGCTGAGTCATATTTCATTGTATATATGCACCACTTCTTTATCCATTTATCTATTGATGGACACTTAGGTTGCTTCCATATTTTGGCAATTGTAAATAATGCTGCAGTGAACATATAGGCATATGTTTTCTTGATTTAGTGTTTTGGGTTTCTTCAGATAAATAATTACAAGTGAAATTACTGGGTCTTTCATTCTCTTGTTACAACCTTTGTTTTAAAGTCTATTTTGTCTGCCTGGCCGGTGTGACACAGTGGATCGAGCATCATTCCATGGACTGAGAGGTCCCGGTTCTATCTGGTCAGGGCACACACCCGGGATATGGGCTCAATCCCCAGTAGGAGGTGTGCAGGAGGCAGCCAATCCATGTTTTTCTCTCACGTCAATGCTTCTATCTCTCTCTTAAAAAAAAAGAAAAGTAGCCTTGGCCGGTTTGGCTCAGCGGTTAGAACGTCGGCCTGCGGTCCTGAGAGACTCGGGTTCGGTTCCCACTAAGGGCACGAACCTCGGTTGCAGTTTGTCCCCGGCCCTGGTCGGTTGTGCGGGTGGCAGCCACTCGATGTGTCCCTTTCACGTCGATGTTTCTCTCTCTCTCTCTGTTCCTCTCTCTCTCCCTCCCACTCTACCTGAACAAAAAATGGAAAAATATCCTCGGGTGAGGATAAAAAAATAAATAAATAAATAAAAATAAAAACATATTTTAAAAAAATAAAGTCTATTTTGTTTGGTATAGGTATTGCTACCCCAGCTTTTATTTTCATAAAATATATTTTTAATCTTTAAAAAATATGTTTTTATTGATTTTTTAAGAGAGAGAGTAAGGGAGAGAGACAGACAGAAACATCGATAGGCTGCCTCTTGCACACCCCCTACTGGGGATTGAGCCCGAAACCTGGGCACGTGCCCTGATTGCGAGTCGAACCGGGACCTCTCAGTCCATGGGATGATGTTCAATCCACTGACCAACACCGGCCAGGTATGAAATATCTTTTCCATCTCTTTACTTTCAATCTGTGTGTGTCTTTTGATCTGAAGTTAGTCTCTTGTAGACAGCATATGCAAGAGTCTTGTTTTGTTATTCATTCAGCCACCATATGTCTCTTGATTGGAGCATTTAATCCATTTGCATTAAAGTAATTGTTGATACATATGTATTTATTGCCATTTTATTATTCATATTTTTGAAATTTTGTTGTTTTCTTCTTCTTAAAGAAGACCCTTTAACATTTCTTGTAATACTGGTTTGGTGGTGATGAACTCCTTTATCTTTTTCTTGTCTAGGGAGCTCTTTATCTGTCCTTTGATTCTGAATGATAGCCTTTCTGGGTAGAGTAATCTTGGTTGTAGGTCCTTGCTTTTCATCACTTTGAATATTTCTTGACAATCCCTTGTAGTCTGTAAACGTTTCTGTTGAAAAATCAGCTGACAGTCTTATGAGAGCTCCCTTATAGGTAACTAACTTCATTTCTCTTGCTGCTTTTAAGATTCTTTCTCAGTCTTTTATTTTTTGGCATTTTAATTATGATGTGTCTTGCTGTGGGCCTCTTTGGGTTCATCTTGTTTGGGACTCTCTGCATTTCCTAGACTCATATGTCTATTTCCGTCACCAGGTTAGGGAAGTTTTCCATCACAATTTCTCAAATAGATTTTCAGTTCTTTGCTCTCTCATATCCTGGCACTTTCATGATGCAAATATTGATATCCTTGATGTTAGCCCCGAGGTCCCTTAAACTGTCCTCTTTTTTTTTTTTTTTAATTCTTTTTTCCTTTTGTTCTGATTGGGTGTTTTCTGCTTCCTAATCTTCCAAATCACTGATTTGATTCTCTGCTTTATCTACTTTATTGTTGATTCCCTGTAATGTATTCTTTGTTGTTATTTTAGACATTTCTGACTGTTTTTTCATGATTTATATTTTCATTTTTATGTTTCCTAACTCTTTGTTGAAGTTCTCATTAAGTTCATTTATTCTCCCGTTAAGTTCATTGAGCATCCTTATAAGTGTTTTGAACTCTGCATCTGGTAGATTGCTTGTCTTCATTTTATTTGGTTCTTTTTCCAGAGTTTTGTTCTGCTTTTTCATTTGGGACATGCTTCTTTGTCGCCTCGTTATGGCTACCTCCCTGTGTTTGTTTCTATGTATTAGGTAGAGCTGCTACATCTCCCAGGCTTTGTAGAGTGGCCTTATGTGGTAGGTGTCCTGTAGGGCCCAGTGGCACAGCCTCCCCTGTTACTTGAGCTGAGCACTCCAGGTGTGCATCCCCCTACCCCCATATAAGCTGTGTGCACCCTCCTGTTGTTGTCTTGATTGACATTGCATGTTAGTGGGAGGCATTTACCCTCACGTTCATCAGCTGTGAGGACTGTGGAACAGCTGCTGTGCAGGGGCCAACCCTATGGAGCAGGACTCACTTCACAGGTCTCTGGTGCCGATGAGTCGCTCCTCCAGTGTGTTGCTCGTTCAGGTGATTGGGTGGTGCTGTGGCATGGTCGGAAGCTGTGTGCACTGGCTCTAGGGCCTCCTGGGAGGTGCAGGCCAAGATCAGCCACCACCTGTGCCCTGCCCGGCACCACCTGACGTGAGCTCCAAAGCAACCTGCAGATGGCTACTTCTTGTGTTGGATTCGGAGGCGCCCCAGAGAGGTCAAGCTGTGAACCAAGGCCCACTGTTGCTGTTGCTGGGCTTGGGGCAAGATGTACATGGCATGATGCTTGTTTGAGGTTTGTGGATATTTTTGTTTTGTCAGTCCTCACCCAAAGATTTTTTTCCCCATTGATTTTTAGTGAGAGTGGAAAGGAGGGGAGGGAGGGGGAATGAGAGAGAGAGAGAGAGAGAGAGAGAGAGAGAGAGAGAGAGAGACATCGACATTGATGTGAGAGAGACACATTGATTGATTGCCTCCTGGACATACCTCGATCAACCGCTAGGAATTGAACTTGCAACCTAGGTACATGCCCTTGAACGAGAATCAAACCCACAGCCTTTTGGTGAGCAGGCCAGCACCCTAACTGCTGAGCTATACTGGCCAGGTCTTGGGTTTGTGGATCTTTCAGAGATTTTGGGAAAGTCCCCAGCATGAGCCAAGACAGGCTATTTTTATGGAAAAGCCACTGGAAACAGCTTTGGTAGGCCCGCAAGCTGTCATTCAGTCATACCTTTATTGAGTGCCTAGTGGAGGTCAGGTATGGTTCCAGGCTCAGAGGAGACCCCCACTGTGCAAAAGTAAGCAGTCTTCCGGAAATCTCAGGGCAGGTCTTTTCTGATTGGTCTGCACCCCCTCTACTCCTTGGAGAGGGATCACCAAGTGTCAGTGAAGGAGTGAAGTTGGGCCAAAGCTACCTGGCTCAATTGAAACGGCATTTGTTCATAGAAGACATTTTCTTAAATATATTTCATATTATAACATCCTTTATTTATGAGCTTAACTAATTTAGACGCCTTCAGAAGCCAGGGTAAGAAGCACCTTTCTTCTGAACTTCCCAGAAACCGCTGTGACTTTGAGAAGAGTAGGGGGAGGCTTCGTGCCTTACGCCCCTACCTGTTCAGGTGCCTGGGTGCTGCTCTTGGACGTGCTGCCTGTCACCCATCAGTTCTTTGGGAGAAACAGGATGGGGCCTGCGACCTGTATATAGACCACAGTTGTGGGAAGAGCTGGGGTGCTGTTGGCCTTGGGGAGCCTTTGTGGAAAAGCACAGGTTGATGGGGAAGTCAGCTCCTCCACGGCCATCTGGACTTTCTGTTGTGTGTTCTCACAGGCTGGCGCGCGAGCCACCTCGACGGGGCCGCCAGAGCCACGGCTTCCACGGCCACTTCGCGCAGAGCCTCCTGGTACCTCCCTGTCGGACCCGCCCCGGCCCAGGTGTGCTGCTGTGGTGACACCTGCGAACTGCTGAGGAGGTCCCGGAAGTGGCTCTGAGGCTCCTGTGCGCAGTCAGTCTCCGGGGCTGAGACAAGGTCCCTTGATCATATTTGATCCTTTGGTGACTGAATTTTCCCTTTCCAGCCAAGCCTTACTATTCTTCATAACACTTGGTCTGAAAGAACTAAGGCAGGGGGAGTAAAATGGCATGGGTTAAGATTGTATCCCTTTGGATAATGATACCTTTTAAACAACTTTATTGTGGTTCACAAATGTCAAGGTGCTTCTACATGGCCTCAGTGTTTGTCACAACAAACCCTTACTAAGTAAGGGTCCTAAGGTTTAAAAGTTGGTTCCACGATGTTCCGAGGTCCAGAGAGGTCAAGGCTCAAAGGCAAAGTGTTTCAGCTCACGTGACACACATGGAACCAGGAGCCGCAGCCTCAAAGGTCTGTTCCCACCCACCCAGGTGGTTAAATAGTGACTGAAGACCCTCTGGACCTCGGTACATTCATGTGACATGTAAGCTTTCCAATAACATCGTTTTATAGTTTTTTGAAATACTTTCAATTTGAAGATTTGACTATTTACTATTTCAAAGGCTTCCACACTAAAAAGGTAACAGAAAACAGATAACATTAATTTAATATATTTTATTCAATTCACTACATACACATTTTATTTTAAAAGTATTAATAAAGTATTAATAAAAATAGTTACTCTTTTTTCAAAAAAAGAGTCTTCAAAATTTGGTGTGTATTTTACACTTAGTCTATTTCTTAATTCAGATGCTAAATTTTCATTGGAAATACTTGCTCTGTATTTAGATTTCATGAAATGTACATTTGAAAAAGCCAGTTCACATAGCCAAGTTATTCCAAGCATAAAACGTTTTCCAGTAGCTAAGTTGAAAACCGATTCAGATGAAACTTTAAGAGAATAAAACAGTCGCTGCCTCAGCTGCACTAACCACACCCAGGTGCCCCAGTCCCCTGAGGCCACCAGGAGGGCTGCTCCTAACAGGATCGAATCCAGAGTAGACGATCTTTAACCTCATCTCAAAATTAAGTAACTTTCTTGTACTTTAAACTATCTATCAGGTCAACATAAATAATTAAATTGTTCCTAATTATACTTTCTCAGTATGTGACATATTTTCTAGTAAATTTTAACTGCATTCAGATTTTACATATAAATGCTTCCTATCGAATTATGAAGCTTATAAATGATATGAATTCTAAAGTGACCCATCAGTCATGCACTTTCTCCAAAGCAAACATGACCACACAGTGTAAACCAACCCCTATAGTTTTACAAGGCAATGAGGAAATATTCTGTGACTATTTCTTTAAGTGGAACAATTCATGAGAACCAAAAAGTAAAAATATTATTATGCCTGTACTTTAGCTCTCCAGTTCACTTCATTAGCTCTTTACTAGTTGAGTGTTTAAAAAGTAAATACCTAACAGGTTTTAGACTAAATAACAACAGCTGTAGAATTGCTATTGAATTTCTTAATTAACTTAATTAAAACTATGTGACCCTTAAAATGATAAAAACCCACTGATCAAAATACATCCTCACATCTTTACCAAAAGTGAGTAGTTAATCCTGAGCTCAAACTGTTACAAAAACAGAATGAGGTCCAAGTTCTGGAGCCCATGCGATCTGTTGGAAGGTGAGAGGGTGTCGCCCCCTTAGACCTTGGCCCTCAAGCTTCGGGCTTGGTCCATAAGCTCCAATTTTGCGACTGCCGAGAGGTGGACTTCGTCAGGTCCATCTGCTATGCGCAGAGTCCGCGTGAGGGCGTACCTGGGAAAACAAAGGCAGGGATGCAGAGTTATCAGAGAGGAACATGATACCTTAACACTAGCCACTCTGACTCTAGTCCGAACTGTCACTTTTTGAGATGTGGCCAAGGCGGTGATAAGAAAAGGGCACAGGGAAGCCAGGTAGAGAAGCCCCGGGACCTCTGAAATGCCATGGTCAAGTTCTCACCGGGGGAGGGCACAGTGCAGTGGGCTTCATCTCGGTCTTGGTTTGCGGTAGGTTCCTACGTGTAAATATATACTTATATACTAAAAACATATAGTACTGTATATTTAGTTCTTTCTTTTTTAAAAAACTTTTTTATTGAGTTTTTAGGGAGAGAGAGAAATATCAATTTGCTGCCTCCTGCATGCTCCCCACTGGGGATCGAGTCCACAACCTGGGCATGTGCCCTGACCAGGAATCGAACCAGGACCTCTCAGTCCACAGGATGACACTCAATCCACTGAACCACATTGGCTGGACTATTTAGTTCTTTCTTAAGGTTAAAACTTGATGGGAAGCCTGGCCGGTGTGGCTCAGTAGTTGAGCCTCGACCCACGCACCAAGAGATCAACGGTTCGATTCTCAGTCAGGGCACATGCCCAGGTTGTGGGCCCGACCCCCAGTGGGGGGCATGCAGGAGGCATGTTTCTCTCGTTGATGTTTCTATCTCTCTCTCCAAAATCAACAAAGAAAAAAGAGAAAAAAACTTGATGAGGGAATGGATGGGCCCCTCTCCAGTGTGAGAGAAGGTGGCAGGGGAGGAAAGTGTCCCTTCCTTTCTGACTCCAAGAAGACAGTCTGGGCACGAGATGGTCACTGCTGCAAATTCAGTCCAGGCCTCCCTGGGGAGGTGGTGAACTGTCCGAAGTACACAGCCTGGCTCTGGGCTCCTCTGGCTGTCTTTGCCCCTCCTCTTCTTCTTGGTTCGGGGTGAACCCCAGTGTGAACGTTAACATAATTGAGTGAAATGGTCACTGTAATCATAAGGGCAACTACTGTTTGGTCCTGAGCCTTATGTTAAAGTACCGGTGATAGAGCTGAAGCTTGAACACGTGGGGTTTGGGCACTGACCTTCTGTGTGGCCAAAAGTCTGTCTATAACTAGTACTTTAATTAGCCTTCAATTATACTTTAAGTTAGTATCTTCATTTTATTTTTAAACAATTAGTGTCAAGGCATCTGTAGATTTTTAACTACACACCTATCAATCAAATGCAGATGTTTATTAAATAGCATCTACTCACATGTTAGCCAGAGGGTAATCCTGGGAAACACCTGCGCCTCCACACACTTGGATGGCCCGGTCAATAACTTTGCAGGCTGCCCGAGGGGCAGCCACTTTAATCATTGCAATCTGTAAAAGCAAGACACAAAAAGAATGTTCTTTTCTTTGACAATACACCATGTGGCAGAATTTGATATAATCTGTATTTTCTTTGTGAAATGAAACAAGGGAACTTTTCCACAATGAATTTATCACTAAAACAGGATCTTTGATGAAAGCTAACAGAGAGATCTGCTGGAATACAGCTAATGGCCATATTTCAGTCAATGCAGACCTTCTGGAAAGAGATATCTCTTCCAAATCACACTTTATTAATTTATTTATAACTTGCCTTGTTTCCGAAAGAATTTCAGGCAGCTGATAAATAACATTCCTCACCTTAGGGATCATTTAAAAAGTTCAAGTGTCTTTACTAATCTTTCTCTTAGCAACTTTACTGGCTTTTAGAATTAAGTGATCACATTCTTATTCTATATAAGCCAGAAACATAAGCAGGCAGGGTCAAGACGTTTTACGAAACATTTACTTTGTGGCAACACAGGGCTGTACATTTTATATCATCATGGTCACTCTTCACTAGAACCCCAGGCCATAGGCAGAAAGGTTAGCTGCTGTGCCCAAGGTCATAAAGCTAGCAGAAAGTGACAGAGTACAATTCCAAGTACGGATACAGTCTTAGGATTTCCCTACTGCCTGTTGCTGCATGTAGAGAATGCTGAAGAGCCCTGGCCAGTTTGGCTCAGTGGTTAGAGCGTCAGCCCGCGGACCAATGGCTTGCGGGTTCGATTCTGGTCAAGGGCATGTGCCTTGGTTGTGGTTCGGTCCTCGGTCCTGGTCGGGAGGCAACCAGTCAATGTGTCCCTCTCACATCGATGTCCCTCTACCTTTCTCCCTCTTTCTCTCTCTCTCCCACCTGCAAATAAATAGGAAAATATCCTCAGGTGAGGATTAAGGGAAAACAAAAAAAGAATGCTGATGATATTTTGCATCCTGAAAATCATTCCCTAAAGCAGCTTAGTGAAAGGAAAACTAGCAAGTGCCATACATACATTTATAATCTTTAAACCAGAATCACACGGAAGCTTCCATATTCCGAATGCCATCAAGGTGCCGTCCAACTGGAAATGCCCAGTGGAAGGGAGACTCACCTCCTTCTTCGCACCAGCGCTGCCCAGAGTGTCGATGTTGTGGGCGGCTTTCAGGGTCAGCAAGCGGATCTCTTCGATGGCAATGCGGCTTTCGGCAATCCAGTGAGCCACAACCTCCTGCAGGGAAGCAAAGGACAGGAAAAAGGAGGAGATAAACTGGTGTCTTATGTCACATGTAACACACCCTTGTAGTTTGGTGAAAACACTAGTCTAGTCCAAGGGTTGTTCCCAAGGGTTAAGTGGAAGAGTTTATTCATTTGAAACAACTTCTTCAATAGTTGTAGAGCCATACAGATGATCTATTTCACCTTTTCTGAGTTTGGTAGTTTGTAGCTTTTGAGGAATTAGTCTATTTCATCTAAGTTGTTATATTTATGTGCTTTGGACACATGCCTGCATGTGATATGGAGTGAAGGAGATTCCACTTCAGCCTCAAAAAGAATAAAATACATAGGAATAAATATAACCAAGGAGGGAAATGACCTGTATTCAGAAAACTGTAAGACATTTAAAAAAGAAATTGAAGATACAAATAAATAGAAGTATACACTGTGTTCATGGATAGAAAAAATCAACATGGTTCAAATATCCATACTACTTAAAGCAATCTACAGATTCAATGCAGTCCCTATCAAAGTATCAGAAGCATTTTTCACAGAACTAGAACAAATAATCCTAAACTTTATATAAACTACGAAAGACCCTGACTAGCCAAAGAATCTTGAAAAAGAAGAACAAAATTGGAGGCATCATGCTACCTGATACCAAACTATACTATAAGGCTATAGTAATCAAAACAGCATGGTACTAGCATAGAAATAGACAATGGAACAGAATAGAGCACCCAGAAATAAACCCACGACTTTATGGTCCATTAATATTTGACAAAACAGGCAAGAACATACACTGGGCTAAGGATAATCTAGTCAATAAACGGTGTTGGGAAAACTGGATGGACAGATACAAAAAAGAAATAAAATTAGAACACTTTCTTAAACTATATATATAAAAAAACTCAAATGGATTAAAGACTTAAATGCAAGACCTGGAACCATAAAACCCCTAGAAAAAAACATAGGCAGTCAACTCTTTGATTTGGTGTTTGCAATATTTTTTTGGCTATATCCCCTGGGGCAAGGACAAAAAGGCAACCTACTGAATAGAAGATAGTTGCAAATGATATAGCTGAGAAGGGGTTAATATGCAAAATATACAAAGAATTCATACAGCTCAACATAAAACAAACAAGCAATCCAATTATAAAATGGGCAGAGGACCTGAATACACATTTCTCCAAAGAGGACATGCAGATGGCCAATAGACATATGAAAAGATGCCCAACACCACTAATCATCAAGGAAACACAAATCAAAAGCAAATGAGGTATCACTTCATACCTGTCAGAATGTCTGTCATCAATAAATCAACAAACGACATGTGTTGGGGAGGATGTGGAGAAAAGGGACCCTTTGTGCACTGTTGGTCGAATTGCAAATTGGTTCAGGCACTATGGAAAACAATATGGAGGTTTCTAAATAAAAAATTAAAAATAAAATTGCCATATGATCCAGCAATCCCACTTCTGGGTATGTAGCTGAAGAAATCCAAAACACTAATTCAAAATGATGTATGCACACCAATGTTCATTTTAAAAATTTTTATTATTTACAATAGCCAAGATATGAAAGCAATCAAAGTGTCTATCAGTAGATGAATGGATAAAGAAAGATGTGGTATATAAATGCAATGAAATATTACTCAGCCATAAAAAAGAATGAAATCTTGCTATTTGTGACAACATGGATGGACCTAGAGGGTATTGTGCTAAGTGAAATAAGTCAAACAGAGAAAGACAAATACCATATGATTTTACTTATATGTGGAATCTAAAAAACAAAATAAACAAGCAGACAGAAACAGACTTATAGATACAGAGAATATTTTGATGGGAGGGGGGCTGGGGAGGATGGGCGAAAAAGGTGAAGAGATTAAGAAGTATAAATTGGCAGTTACAAAAGAGTCATGCGGATATGAAGTATAGCATAGGGAATACAGTCAATAATATAATAATTATGTATGGTGCCAGAAGGGTTCAAGATTTATCAGGATAATCACTTAGTATGTTATATAAAGTTGAAGCACTGGGTTGTACACCAGAAACTAATATAATATTGTATGTCACCTATAATTGAAAAATAAATTATTTAAAGTAAATAAAAAATATTAAAATCAAGTTCATCTTTTTCTTTATACTTTAAAAAAATGTAGCAACTAGAAAATTTTAAATTGCATTTGTGAGTCACAGTTGGGTGGCTCTGCCCTAGAGGTTGAAACAAGGCTCTGAATTAACACTTCAAACAAGCCACCAGTGGTTGGTGAGTATCCTGATGGCTGTCGGAGTGGGTAATCCTAACTTCATGAGCAGACACCAAATGCACTGCTACTTAGCTTCAGAATAAAGGAAAGCGTTTTTAGTTGGATTTCTATGGGCCCAGATTTGCTGAAAAGTATGAACTGGGTAGAAACTGAGTGCTCGAAGGAATCGCCAGATTATTTATTAAGACAGAATTTTGATGTAGAACAGTCAGCTTCAGTGCCTGGAATATTTATAAGGCAGCTGGAAGGAGTCTCCAAATTCAGGGAAAGGAATGTTGCTTTCACAAATTGGAAAAAAAAACGTGGCCCAGCTTTTTGTTTATAATATGCTTACGCACTTCTTTTACTTCTGCCAGATCATTTTCTTCGTGCCAAATACAAGATGTTTCCCGTGAAGGGAGTCATACTTTTGAAAAGTCCAGGCTTGTTCTACTTGATACATTAATTTTAAAAAGGAGGGGGGAAATTTCCCTTTACTACAGTATTGAAACATCTCTCATGAAAGCAGCAATTGAGCAGAGTGCTTTTGTGTCTTCAAGACGCCTGTCCGTGGACCTGTGTCCTCCCTTCACCCTGCTCCAGCGGCTGGCTGCAATTTTGAAAAGAGAAAAGCGTAAGAAGTGATAGTTGATGCCTGGAGTGACTCTTGCTCCTACTCCAGCAGCAGTGTGGAGTTGTACCCATGGCCCCCAAATTCAAACTCACACCTTCTTACCTCCTCCCACAGTGCCCATCCAACAGCTGAACCCTTGCCCTCGCTGTGGACTGAAGGGTCCCCACGAATATTCCTAGGCATGTGCCACAAAGCAGGCTGGATTTTTCCATAAGAACAATGTTATGATTAAACATAGATACACTGAAAATATTTCACAAAAAGCAAACATAGCCTATAGAAATTTAAAGTAAAAAATATATTGCAAAATTGCATATGGTCACAAATGTACTTTACAAGGGGACCAGTGTACTAAACTACACATGTCCAACAAACACAAGTTCCATTTTATCACCACGAGTTTGACCTAACACTATCATGTCAGCAATTGTTAAGTATTTAATATTCAACAATAATTTTCTTGTCTTAAAAGTTAGAAGGGCTTTTGCAGGATGATTTGGATATCCCACTTCTCTTAAGTTTTCCAAGGAAGTCTGAAATGATACCTTCCTCTCTCTTGATAAATGTTCTCTCATTTTGATTATATTATTTATTGTGCTTTGTAAACAGACTCAGTAGTACGTAATTTATAGATGAGAATTAAAAAAAATCATGACCACGCCACCAAATGCTGGTTCCATTCCTACCTGCATTTCTGCAGTGACAGGGAACTCCCTCCCTCCCGAAGCAGTCCATTCCTTTTCAGATCTCTCTCCTTTCCCTGAGTTTTAGGCTATTCTCCTCTATCTTTACCCTTATCTATCCCAATTCTTCCACAAAGACGATCGACAAAGCATTCCCTCTTCCCCACGCCAGCCCTCACGGGTCCGCAGAGTGGGGTAATGTACCAGGTTCTCTAGAGAACAAGAGTCCCGAAAGTTGAAGGAACTGTGCACTCTGCGTGCCGAGTGTTGGAGCACTTCAGGAGTTATTCCATCTTTCACAAAGAGAAACGACTCCCATCAGACTACATTTAAACGTAGATGTACATGCACTGTGGGGGAAAGTTTCTTGTTTATGCAGAGGAAATCTCTGATCGAGAAATGCTGCTTTGGTTCAAGGTTAGTGTAGTGCGAGGGCTACAACAAAGTGAAGTAAGTTTAAGCCGTTCTCCTTACATGTGAGTACAGTTTCTTCTTAAAGGCCACCCTCTGTGCTGCCCGTTCACACATGATCTGCAAAGCGCGTTCTGCCAAACCTACTGTTCTCATACAGTGGTGGATTCTGCCAGGTCCAAGGCGGCCTTGGGCAATTTCAAATCCCCTTCCTTCACCTGTGAGAAGGAAAAACAAACATGAAGGTGGCCACAGCCCATTTATGTGTTATTGACACAAATCCTGAGAAAACCATGAGCTGCCCTCACTATACACGGCATTCTAGTAGGAAAAACAGTCAGTTGTATAATCAGGCTCATTATACATTTATGGCACTTTAGATTTCTTAAAAAATGTATCTTTATTGTCGAAAGTATTATAGATGCCCCCCCTTTTTTCCCCTCATTGACGCCCCCTCCCCTGCTCTCTCCCCACCCACCTTCACCACCATCATTAAACACTGTGACCACATTTAAGAACTATGTCTTGAGTGCCTACTATGCATAAGCTATCTATTAGTGCCACAAAGGTCACAAAGGGAGAGCAGACACAGTGCCTGCACTGAGAGTTTAGAATCAAGAGGAGACAGGATGGTAGGGGTAAGGGATGTGCAGAAGGACAAAGAAGGCAAAGGAGGAGGAGGCTATAACCGTAAGGCCTGGCAGGCATCGGGCGTGTTGAGTAGAGGGATGAGGAACAAACAGCCTTCCTGAAAGAGATGCCATTTGAGATTTTCTGGAAGTAAAACTCCAATAAGCGAGAGGGTGGAGTCATTCCAGGCACACGGTGTTCAAAGTTCTCATGCTTCTAGCATGTCTGTAAGACCCGAGTTCAGAGTACTGAGGTTTTCTTAAAACCAGTAGAGGCCTGAAGGTACTGTTTTAGAAAAAAGTGTGTTGCTCTGAAATGTATAGTTTTTTTTTAAACAATATTTTCAATTGATGTGATAAAAACCACAATCAAACGCTGTAATAAAACATTATTCCATGTAAGAAAATCCACAAGATAAAAAAAAAATGTTCTCTTGTAAATGGGAAAGTATCTGAATTAAGGCAGACTTCAAATTTTTTCCATATTTAGACCTTAATATTTTAATACACAGTGTTTTAGAATCATTTTTGCAAACTTATCTCACCTAGTATTAAATTGGTGGCAGGAACTCGCACTTGATTAAAATGGATCTCAAAATGTCCTCCATGTAAATGATCTATCAAATAGAAAATAAAATTTTAAAGAGCAAAATGAGTTAACCAAAATATAGTCCCATATAATTAATCTGCTGAACTATAATTACTCAAAGAAAGTAGGCTTTAAAAGCCTTTATGTCCGACTTTCCTGGGTAGATCTGAGCCTGACCCCCAGCATCCCGGAGCTGAGAACTCATCAGATGTTCCAGTCAGAAGAGCTCTTAGGAAGCATTTGCTGCAGAGGTTTTGAACTCATTCTCTGAAGCTGTCGAGCTATTAAAAGGGAAAACGGCTCCACAGCTCCAATCAGACTGTTTTATTATGGCTTCTTCTTTGACATTTTTTCTATATGGGCTTGCAAAGAAAATTTTACTTGGGAAAAAAAAGGTCCCAATAGTTCAAAAGTTGGAAGTGAGGTAATGCAATTCAAGTTTCTTATTCTGTCATTGTAGAAACCAATGCCTGAAGATGCTCAGAGAGAGCAGGCTCAGCATTGGAGCTGAGGCACCGACCGGGCCTTCAGGAGTGTCTGTTCCCAGTCTAGGCTTGTTCTCCATGTGTCCCCTCTTGAAAATGCTGGCATCTCACCGAAGCTGGGAACACATTCACATTTATCTTACAGCACCCCTACCCCATGCCAAGTTCAGGAGATAATCTCATGCTAACTCCACACCCTTTTCCTGTCACAATAGACATTAGTAATCAATTTTCTCCACAGTTTCTTTTGGCCTTGGGTACAGGGAGTTGGAGAAGTGTTGGTGAATTTCTCATACTGAAAATTCTAACCCATGCTCTGCAGTAGAGGATATTTGCAGCCCATTGATATTATGAACCCATTTTGGTAGTCTTTCAGGCTGTTTAGGCTGCAGCACTACTTCCCATGCACAGTTTGCTTCAGTGAGCTGTTCATCCCCATTTGCCAATGCTTAATCTGTGGGCACATTCTACAACTGCATCCTACAGAGGGTGATCAGGCCAAATATCTGTAAAACTGCAAGTCATGTCTGTTACTTGACCATTTTCATTACCCATATTCACCAGTAAAGAGAAAGCCAGGGTCGCCACAGAACCAGAAGTTCAATACACTTTTTCATAGCATTAGCACCTTCTGTATGATCACCAGGCTATCTGATTTACTTATGTACATGGTTATAGTTATTGCCTGTCTCCTCCCCCCAGCATGTAAGCTCTATGAGGGCGGAGATCTTAGTCTCTCGTTTTCACTAATGTGCACTAAGCACTGAAAGTGTTCAGCACTCAGATACTTTCTTTTTTTTCAGTAGTTCTGTTGTTTTTATTAAGTAGTTTATTTTTGTTTCAGATGTTTCTCCTTTTTCCCCCATTGACACCCTCCTCCCATCCTCCCATGTCTACCCCCACCCCCAGCATTATTGTCTATGTCCACTGGTTATGCATATAAATTCTGTGGTTTATTCTTCCCTTCTCCCTACCCCCCTCCTCTGAGGTTTGTCAGTCTGAACCCTACTTCTATGTCTCTGGGTCTATTTTATTCATCTACTTACTTTGTTCTTTATATTCCACAAATAAGTAAGATCATGTGATATTTGTCTTTCTCTGACTGGCTTATTTCGCTTAGCACAATACTCTCCAGGTCCCTCCATGTCGTCTCAAAGGATAAGAGAGCTCTCTTGCTTATAGCTGCCTAGTGTTCCATTGTGTAAATATAGCACAGCTCTTTTATCCACTCGTCTACTGATGGACACTTGGACTGTTTCCAGATCTTAGCAATTGTAAGTAGCACCTGGATACTTTCTGAGTGAATGACCTGAGCAGCAAGGAAACAATGGACATGAGCCTGACGTGGGTGGCAGGTAATAAAAATATCCTTGCTTCCTACAAATTCCATGCAAGGACAGAAGGAAGGAAAAGTTTTGCATTCAAATCAGTCAAAACTCATTGTTTATTAACAGTTCTTATAGGTTGATTAAGAAAGCTAAAAGTGAATTTTGTTGTGGACTGCCTAGATTTAATTTTTTTATGCATATTTCATTAATCCGTTCTCCTGGATGACAGACAGAAGACTGGTAGTCAGAGTTGTTGTTCCTTGAATACAATCTGCCCTTTCCCAAAAGTAAACAAAATGAGGTAGAAGGCTGTACCACTCTCTTTATTTGCTGACATTTATATTAAGACAGTTGTGAGGGCCAGAAGATTTCTAAGAACACATGTCATACGTTAAAATGCTATCTGTTCCCTTCAGCATAACTATGTACTCCAGTCTTCCTACATGGTCATGTTGATTGAGCACTTACCCATGTAGCCAAAAACTGACAAAGGTCTTATGATTTCTACTCCAGGTGTGTTAATAGGAACAAGAATCATGCTGTGTTGTTTGTGTCTGGTCAAAAGAAAAACAGATGTTAGGAGAAGTCTGCTAAGTGGAAAAATAAAACAGATGTTAGGCGGAACTGCAATTATCATTTTGTTCTTACTGTTATGTAATCATGTGAGATAAGCAATGATGCCTGGAATGGGGTGTGAAAAACATACATCAAGCATAGTTGGATGCAGGCTGAGATCTGGAACAGTAGTAAGAATTTGCAAATAAGTGAAAGTTATTTAATTGAGGCTTCTCATTGCTCAACATTGGAAACTGATGTACAATGTTGAACATTTAAAGACTACTGTCTTTGATCTAAACATCACTTAATTACTTACAGACAGTTCTGGAAAATTTTATGGCTTATAATCTGACCCAAAAAGCTTTGAGAAGTAGCAACACTTTTTAATACAGGAAATCCCACAGTGAAGAACGTACAGCAACACTCCCTACAATATTTTCTAAATATATCTTTAAGAAAACTAGTTGTAAAATATGAATATGTGACATTGAATATCATATTTTATATTATTATGAGTTGTGAACCCAAAGGTGCATTTTAAGTAAATTAAGTGGACAGAGAGAAAGACTGACTTGTATCCCTATATAGATTTTCAATAACAATTGTTTTATTACCTGGCTGCCGAGGTATTTTTAGTTCTTCCCAAAACAATCGCAATTTTGCACTTTGGATTCCCAGCTCCTAAAACCATGAAGGAAATGAGCAGAATACATCATAAAAGGAAATTTTTAGTCTGACATTGTACCTTAAAAGTTCTAATCTTTCCAAGTTTATCCCTGGCAAAAAACAAATAGAAAAAACTCATTGATTTACTTAAAAAACAATGCTTATGGACAAAATTGTATGTCAACTCAAGAAAAATGACGTGGCAAGGCCAGAACGGACTCTGTCAATGAACACTGCTGCACAAAAGCCGCCCGAAGGCAAAGCAGCCATGAAGCAGCCGCAGCCCTTCACACAAGATGTCAGCTCTCCAACTCACACCACTCCGGGCTGCAGCGTGCCAGAGAGGTTGTGAAACCCTTCTAGTGTGTACTTCCTTCTGTTTAGAGCTCATATTTTCTGGCACGTGGACAAGAAAGGTCTTAACACTCTATATTTACTCCCCAGCTACTGGCTGAGGAAAAAAACCTAATTTCCTCAGCGACAGAGTTGGGCAAGGGTGAGTCTGCTTCAGTGAGGGTCTCAGCACCTACCCCAGACTGCATCGTTTGCCCTAGCTATACGATGGAGCAGCTGAAGATGGTCTACCTGGAGCTACCCACATATCTGAGGCTCTGATTCCCCCCCTTTGGTAAGCCTAGGTTCTCATTTATATATTTATTTAGGGTTAGAAACTTGAAAATATAGTTTCTCTCACTTTAACGCAAATTTTTATTTTATTACAGTTCAGAGGTCTAGGCAATTCTCCAAAGGGGCCTTATTGCACAAAGTACATTTCATTTTCACCAGTAAGTCTAAGAACCTAGTCCCACAAGGTAACTACATTGAACTGGCTTTCTAATTACAAGGCCATAAACAACTGGGTCAGACTAAGTTAAACATGTCTGTACAAACTCTTACAAAAATTATCATATTCTTTTTTCCCCCTAACTTCTTATAAAAAGTGGTTTCAAGAGTTTGGAAATGATATGAGGATTCAATGATAAATGTTAGGAATAATGTCAAACAGTGAACACCATAAAATCCAGGAGTTTAAAAGGATAAATTCCATGGAGCATATTAAAGGACAATAAAGGGATGCCATCAGTAAAATGCAGGCTGTGGGAAATCTACCAGACAAATAATATGGTTTTGTTAACAATTAAGTTGCAATAACAGAAAGAGGGAGCTTACAGATGAAAAACTACTTTTAAACACATATCAACCAATAGTAATTTTTAGACCCTATATGGATCCTAATTCAATTAAACAAACTAAAAAGTGTTAATGATAATTATGAAACAATTAGAAATGTGAATACTTACTGAATATGTAATGATAATGGTACTGTGGTTACGTTTTTAAAGAGCCCTTATTGAGAAACATACCAAAATATCTGAAGGAAATGATGTGATGTCTGAGATGTATTTCAAAATAATGGGGAAAGGAAGGAATGAGAGAAGGGAGGAAGCAAGACTGAGCATGAGTTGAAAATTTGAGTCTCAAAACTATCCAAAGGATATTCCTAGGAGAATGAAGTGTGTAGCAGGGATATGAAGGAGATACAGTGTATACTGAAATGTCTGGGAACACCCACAGAACAGTGAGCATGGAGAGCCGAGGGGCAGGCCCAGAGGAAAGAGATGCCCTCCCTCTAGATGAGAGGGCTGAGGAGAGGACGTGGTGAAGGCACAACGCTAGAAGAAAAGATGATTAGGCAAGAAACAGAGAGCAAAACAAGCAGGGGTTAAAAACAACTGAAGAGTGGCGCCAGAATGGGTCTACTTTAAACTCTAGCACTTGCATTTGAAATGTTGCAACTGTACGGCTGAATTTCTTGCTCTATAGAAAAAGCAAATGAAATAGAATGCACAACCATAGCTCTTGTAATATTTTTAGTCTATTCAAAGAGATAATAAACAGAAAACTATACAATGGAAACAATCTAAAATTTGCAAGAGTTCACAATGGAAACTGAATTGATGGCTTTTCAAAAACCAACTTGCAGAGATTCAAGATTGTAGAAATATGTGTTTGTCTCCCGTTACGCCTAAGATCCCACTGATCTAAAAATAGAAAAATATAATGAAGGTAAAACCATAACAGAAAAGGAAATATAGAAGGTGAGGCATAGGATTGGTGGTGGTGGTCACCAACAGATGAGTGAGTTCAATAAATGTCTGGGAAACAGACAGAGGCAAGTTGACAGATGAAATGGACAGAGAAGTCAGAGTCTAGAAAATGATGTAAGGAACCGCAAAGGGAGAGGGTTCTGGCCCCAGAGTCAGAAGATATGACTGAGAAGTGAGGCTACAAAAGGAAGATTAATCCAAGATTTATAAATGGACAAATGTATCAGGTGCTACTCTCACAGGTAGGTATCTGATAGCCTAAGGAGAAAAGTATATAGTGTGTTATGAAAACCCTGTCCTTCTGAGACTCGAAAGCCAGCTAGCTCCTCATCAGCAGACACTGAAGTGCCTGTTCCACCGTGTTTCCTCACAGAATTCTTCTCAGGAGAGACACATGGCCAGGAAAGAGCTCTGTGTTAATAACGAAGAAAACTTTAACCAGCTACTCTTCCTTTTCTCTTAACTATGAACAGAAAACCAAGGATCTGTAGTATGTGAAGAGAGCCCAGAGCATTAAAGAGAATAACTGTCCAAAATAAACCAAATTGGACCATAGGGGAACAAAATAAAACAAGAAACAGAGAGAACCTAAAACAAAGCAAAACAAAATGGTGCTAAACCAAATAGAAACCTCTAGTTTTGTAATCTGAGAGATCCCATAAGCAAAGGAAAAAGTCAGAGGGTAAAAACAGATACTTTTAGAGCAAAATCATCAAGTGTGACATCAAAATAAAAGGGGTCCAATGAAGAGAAAATGGTCTAATAAAGAGAAAAATAAAGAGAAGAATTTATCAGAAAAACTTATGAAAGAAAAATTTCTGAAACGGGGGGGGGGGGGGGGGGGGGGGGGGAATCTTCAGGTTGAAAGGACCACTGCCTGGCAAGAGGAGCCCTCAGGTAGGTACATATGAAGGAAGGGATAAAAGGTAGAGAAAGAAGTCAGTGCACTCATATCCTTGCATTAGAAAGTGAAGCTTGAAGAGATTCTGCCCAATGAGGATGCAGAGGAAATATTCAGTGATTATTTAAAGTTTAAAGATAAAAAAATTTGAAACAATAAAATATACATAACAGGAAAGGGCAGATAGTTATAATACAAATAAGTGAAATTTTCATCATTCACATTGGAGAGTTAATGGATAGTGTCTGAAATGAATAAACTGGGAGAGAAAATAAAACATTTTACTTAAAATTATAGCAGAAACCAGAGAACTAAAACCAGAAACTTTGGAAGAGTTTTCTCTAGGGTATGCTATTTGGGGTGTGGAGGGATGGGAAGCAGTATGCTCTTTGATATATTCTGATTTGTTACCACTTCTAATTTAATAATAATAATAATAATAATAACTTAAAAAACATTTTAAAAATGAGCCTACCACCTCGTAAACAAATCTGTAGATCCCAATTAGGAAAAGGAGGCTGAGAGACCTGCTGAGTAAACTGCAATGCTCTTTTTCTCTCTTTCCTAATCTCCTTTTCATTTGACGCGGCTGTGGAGGAGCCGCTTCCTGAACAGTGTGAGGCCTTTCCCCACTCCTTCGGTGTGATCACACAGCTCCAGAAATCCTGCATGCACACTCTGCTTATAAAACCTTTACACTAATTAAAAAAACACTAAAGATAGCTCTCTTCCCAGAAAGGGGAAGAAGGTAATGTGTCTAAAACTGATGACTGCTAACCCGCTGGCCGGGAGTGGAATAAGGAAGCACCTGAGACTGCTTTTGATCTTGAATCCCACGACTGCTTCCCAGACTTGTCAGAACACACAATCATATATACACAGATATGATTCTACTTGTGACGAGAAAGTAAGGGAGAAGCCTTTTAACGAACTTGGAACGGGGCATTTTTTAAAAACAGCATTAAGTCGGTCATTAGATACCACACAGCCATCAGATAAGGACACAATGGTATGACTTGGGGTTCATTTTCATCAGAGATCTTTTCTCTCTCAATTTCTACCTTGGTAATCAAGAACATTTTGGAAAAATCTTTTCAGGTTTCATGGATCTTAAACTAGATTACCAGAAGCTAAATCCTTCAAAAGTAAAATGTTCTCTCCAACTCTCTTAAATCCCAGTCAAAAGCCCCATTTTCCTAAATAAAATACTTTTATTTCCTAATAAAAATATATATTTTTCTCTGACATTTCTCAATAGCAGTTCTTGCCTTGCTCTTTCTGTCATGAAAATGTGTTGCCACAGCCTTGTGTAAATACCCAATAGATTTCAGATATGCAGTAAATTTTGAAGAAACTAAAAAAAAAAAAAGTAAGTAACTTGTTGATTCTCCCTTGCTCAATCTAATATAAAACAATTCAGATTTAAAAAATAAAACCTCAAAATTGACTCTTCTTTTGGGGTCATTAAGTAGAGGAAGTAAGCGTGAATGCATAGGTTGTAAATTTTTAAATATTTTTATTTAACCTTGATGGTTCATAAAATAGGAAAATACCCTCACAAATATATCATCTCATCTTAGCTACAAGCAGAATTTGGCAGGTATAGCAGCTAACATGTCCTTTTAAAGAGAGTTTTGCTCTTTTATATTATTTTAGTTAACAAGCAGGATACCTGATGTCATAAATGAAATATATTAGAGGAAATGTGAATAGATCAGAAAACATTTAAATATGTCTGCTGTGTCGCAGGCCTTCAGGGCTGAAAACAGATGGTATAGACCGCAAGCTGACGCTCTAACCGTGGAGCCAAACTGGCCAAGGCAAGAGAAATTATTTTTAAAAATGAAATAAAAAGAAAAGGTGAATTGGTGTGTCTTTATGAAACTACTGTACATTAAAAAAACAATTTGGGGAAAATATTTCCTACGCTGGCAAGGGCAGGAGAGGGAGGAGTGCTGAATCTGTTAGAAATCACTCGGAATGCAGAGTGGTCGTCAGATAACACATTCTATTAGCAAGGTTCTAGGGAAATAGACACTTCCATACATTATTGGTAGGAGTACAACGTAACACCATCCCTATAGAATACAATTTGGCAATATCCATTAAAATTACAGATTCATTTACTCTTTGATTCATCAGTTCAAATTCTGAGATTTAGCCTACAGATAAAACTATTCCTGAATGAAATGACAGATGCATAAGATTATTCACTGTAGTAGGACTGTTTGTATTTGCAACCAAATTCTGCAATACAATAAAAAGTAATATACCATGGTCAAGTGGGATTTATTCAATGGATGTAAGGTTGGTTCAATATCTACAATGATACATCTATCTGATAAGGGGTTAATATCCAATATATATAAAGAACTCATACAAGTTAACACCAAAAACAAAAATAAAACGAACAATCGGATTATGAAACAGTCAGAGGACCAAAATAGACATTTCTCCAATGAGGACATACACAAGGCAAATAGACATATGAAAAGATGTTGAACATCACTTATCATCAGGGAAATAAAAAAATAAAAAGAGCCTGGCCAGTGTGGTGCAGTGGTTGAGCGTCAACCCATGTACCAAGAGGTCGCCAGTTCAATTCCTGGTCAGGGCACATGCCCAGGTTGTGGGCCAAATCCCCAGTACAAGGCATGCAGGAGGTGGCCAATGGATGTACTCTCTCATTGATATTTCTATCTCTCTCTCCCTCTCCCTTCCTCTCTTTCTAAAATCAATAAAAATATTTTTAAAAATAAAAATAAAAATAAATAAATATTTTAAAAAAATAAACACAATAAGATTATCACCTCATACCTGTCAGAATGGCTATCATCAATAAATCTACAAACAAGTATTGGCAAGGATGTAGAGAAAAGGGACCCCTTGTGCACTGTTGGTGGGACTGCAAACTGGTATAGTCACTGTGAAAAAGTAAGGAGGTTCCTCAAAAAATTAAAAATAGAACTACTACATGACTCAGCAAATCCCATTTCTGGGTATTTATCCAGAGAAATACAAAACATGTATTTGAAAAGATGTATAAATCTCTATTTTCACTGCAGCATCATTTACAATAGTCAAGCTACAGAAGCAACCTAAGTGTCATCAACAGATGAATGGAAAAGAAGAAATGGTACATACATACCATGGAATATTATTCTGCTATAAAAAAGAATGAAATCTTACCATTTGTGACCAAATGGATGGACCTAGAGGATGTTATGCTAAGTGAAATAAGTCAGTCAGAGAAAGACAAATACCAAATGGTTTTATTTATAGGCAGAATCTAAAAAAAATAAAAAAAATAAATGAAAAAAACAAAAACAAAACAAACTCATAGACACACTAATGGTTGTCATACGAGAGGGGCTTTTGAGGCTGGGTAAAAATGGTGAAGGGATTGAGAAGTACAAAACTGGCGGTTATAAAACAGACACAGGATATAAAGTATAGCATAGGAAACATAGTCAATAATATTGTAATAACTATGTATAGTATCAGGTGGGTACTAGACTTGTTAGGGGAATCACCTCTAAGTTATATAAATGTCTAATCACTATGCTGTACACCTGAAACTTATATAATATTGCATGTCAACTCCAATTGAAAACATTTAAAAAAGAAGTATAGCATCAAGGTCAAGTAAAATGGGATAATAATCAGAAGGAAAAGTAGGATTATTTATTAAATCAAAATATTGATTGAGGACCTAATCTATGCCAGACATCATTCTAGGCACTTGGGATATATCAGTGAAGAAGCAAACAGTAGTGCCTGCTCTGAAGAATTTATATTCTAATACAGAGCAACAGGCAATAGACAACTGATATGATACATTAGCACACGATAAGTGCTATGGGTAAGGTGGATTGGCAATATAGGCACAGGGTGCATTTTTTTTTTTTTAATTCTCACCCGAGGATACTCTTCCATTTATCTTCAGATAGAGTGGGAGGGAGAGAAAGAGAGAGAGACAGACAGACAGATATCGACTGGTTGCCTCCTACACGACCCAACCAAGGCCGGGGACCAAACTGCAACCGAGTTATGTTCCCTTGACCAGAATTGAACCCGTGACCCTCTGGTCCGCAGGCCAACACTCTAAACACGGAGCCAAACTGGCCAGGGCAGAGGTGCATTTTAAACAGAGAAGCCAGTGACTGTCTCAGTGAGAAGATGGTAACTGGACAGACTTGAAGTAGATGAAGGAGGAAGCGCATTCCAGCAGACAGAAGAGCCAGTGCAAAGGCCCTGAGTAGGAAATGTGCCTGGCACATTCCCAAAGAGCAAGGAGGCTGGTGTGGCGGAACAAGCAAGCAAAGGGGTGAGTACTATGGAATAAGGTCAGAGAGGCAGTGAGAGATGGAGGGATTTTGTAGGCCCCTCTAAGAATTTAGTGGAAGGTTGCTCATTTATTTCCTCCTGCCCCAATATATGCCAGATCAAGAAGAACAGGAGGGAAGAGCAGGGAAGGACCAGATAGTCTAGAGAGGGCAGGGACAGGGATAACATCAAGAGCAGTGTCCCTCAGAAGGCAGCAGGAGATCAGGAGCGATCAGTCATGGTAAGTAGAAGGGCTGCCTTCTTCGGGGGCAGTGTGCTAGAGTCTGCTCAGGAGAGCTGATTCTGCTCGCCTCTCAGCAATTTTGCTCTCAGTGACTTCACACTGGCAGCTTAAAATTGGCCATGGTAGGAACATTTACACAATGGAAAATGACCACCACCACCAATCCAGGCCCTCTTTTTCCTGGTACACTGACTTAGCTGCAGGCAAATGGCTCTCCCTCAAGGACTGGTGGATAGCAAGAATCTGGCTGTACCTCAGATATGGACTGCAGGAAGATGAAGGAAGATAAAGGCCCAGAGCCTCTTTTCTGTGAACTGAGCTGCTTGGAGAAAAAACGGCATGGGTCTGAAATAACTTGTGTGGGTAGAGACTGAGCCCAGCCTTGCATGAATATATAATAAATAAGAGAACTGTTACGCAAATGTGAGGAGAGTCAAGTTCAAATAAACCACAAAGGCTAAATCTACATACATTTCTCTTCTTTCTCTAATTTTAATTTTTTTGGAAATGTGGGAAAAATAAACCACCTACTAAGACATAGGATGGGATGCTGGCCTTTGAAGAAAAAGGTTACAAGAAGCAAGAGAGTTTAAAGTCATGGGGAAAGGCATACTCTGTGATCAAGGACAGAGGATACAGTGGAGGACAGAGGAGTCTCATAGCTTAAGTAAAATATTAATGTGGCATAAAAAATTAACTTCTAGATATGCCTAATGATTACTTCAAATTTAGACTTTGGCAATTTAGTCTTCAAAAAGATAATTTTCTGGGTGAAAAATCATTTTTGTTTCCTTTCCGAGACAAGATAACTTCAGAGAGCATTTCTCTGATGCTACCGACCAGTTACTTGTTAGCAGCCTTGATGCTCTTGGGTGGATCCTTCTGGCTTGGCACTCAGTTCCTAAGCTACAGGCACTTTCTGGTTGCCTTCAGCTATGTGGAAACTTTGAAAGGTCTGTAGTTGTTGAAACAAGATGAAATTCTTTCAGGTTTGTGTCATAGGACACTTAAGAACTTGGACTTGATTTCACAGGATGGTTATATGTAAAATAAAGATCAAGTGCTCACGTGGTTAAATTTCAGGAAAGCCCTCTTGGATGCAAGACAAAGGCGGGGTATAAAATGAAAACAAAAGTAGCCCCAGTCAGAGAGGTTATTTGATTTCACTCTGCACTCAAGACTGCTCCTGTCTGCCCACTGAAACAGGTTGGTTTTTCTTTTCTCATTCTGACTTGGATATGATCTTTTTTAAAAGCTCAAAGACTTTGTATATCTCCCTATGTAGAGGGAGTATTGATGCATAAAAGCCTAAACATTTATATGCAAAAAAAAAAAGCTATCTGAAAAGAGCTATACACTTTAACCTTAAAACAAATATCTGAGTATAGCAAGAAGAAAATATATATTATTTTAATACCTTTATTGCCTATGAAATTTTATGAATGAGAAACAGGTTTTGCTATACCAATTTTTTTTGTTGCTTTGTTTTATATACACTAATTTTTTTGTTCTTGAAATAATTACAAAGACATCTAAATGTGTTTCTATGCCTCTGCCAGAGAATCATTTCTGGAAATAATTTCCATTCCTACTCATATTTATGCACATTTTTAGTAAGCTTAATTCTTATTTTAAATATACCCTTTAATATTTTATATTATTTGGCCATATTGTTTCTTATCATCAGGTTCAAGATTTCTCTGAAGAGAAGGAAAACACAAAGTTCATATTGTGTTAATAATTAATGAAAACCAGGGTAATCTTTGGATCGGACCTTTTCAGATAACATTAAGGATAAAAGTAGTCATTTTAAATTGTCAGCACCTGGATTTTATATAATGAAAGTAGTTCTTTTATGTGGATTCTTTCCTCAGGGGGTCTTCTTTGCTTTACTCATCCCAAAAAGGTTAGACTATACTTTTGAAAATGGACCTAAGTTTTCACACTGTTCTGAAAATAATATTTTCATTCATAATTGTATAAGAATATTCGGGATTCTTCCAAGGACAAAAACAACCAAAGAAAGACAATAAGGCTAAGGAAGAAGCAAAACAAAACTCAGCACTCTAATAAAGACACTGAAAGTCATTATTAAATACATTTTAAACTTGTGAATTTGATATAAACTTATCTTACTACTATTGGGTATTAATAACCAATATAGTAAAATAACAATGATGAGGCAGGAGAATAACAGCTTTATATCTTCTGGTTAAACCTTTATCTGACAGATATTTACTGAGCAACTAGTGTGTACCAGGCATTCTATAAGGTATTAATTACAATCTTAGGAAACTTAGAACATAGAAGAAGAATGTAGTGTGGAAAATGCATCTTTTCCATAGGATGGGTCAGTTTTCTGAGAGATATGTCTATATAGCTTTTGGATCAGGAAAGTCTTCTGGGGAACTGAGCAGGAACTGGCCCTTCGAGGGAAAGGCAGGCAACAGTGTATGAGATAAAGGCACAGAATGAGTACCTGTGCTGCAGCATGGGTGTGCCAGCACACTGCTGGCAACTCAGTACTAGTACTGTCTGTGGTGCTGGGGCCCGCAGGAGCGAGATGTGGCAGGAACCATGGGTAGGACCACATGATGGAGGGAGCCTTGGAGATCATGCTAAGGAGCTTGGACTGTATCTTTCAGGTGAAGAGATGTGTCTTTCAGGTGAGGAGCTAAGCAGGGGAATTACGGATTGGCACTGTAGAGACACAGCACCCTGGGGGCAGGAAGAAAAATGTGTCTGACGAGGTGGTAAGGAAGAATAAGAACTGTAGGATACCAGTTAGGAAGATACTACAGTGGACCAGGTAAGAAGCAATGATGGTCTAATTGTGCAGATATGTCAAAGAGCACAGATGAAAAGAAGGAGACAGATTTGAGATCTATTTGGAAGGTAAGATCAGAATTTAGGGGCTGACTGGAAATCACAGGTGAAGGCAGGATGGCGCAGGCTTACGATGTAGGTGACCAAGGAACAACAGTGCTACCAAACAGCAGTGTACAACAAGCAGGTAGCGACAGGATTTGCAGGAAAGCTAACTAGAGGAGATTGTTTTGTAAATGCCAACCAAGGAAACTAATATAATGTTGAGATAACTTATTAAACTTATTTTTAAATAAATTTATAAATAATATAACAATAAAATAAATTTAAACAATTAGGCTGTTTATTTTTATTAACTTGTCAGTATACTGCATAAGAATTACAAACTTGCATATGTAAAAATTATAACATTTTTTATTCCTTTGAGTTAAAATCTGACTACATTTTCATATTTGAAGAACTGTTTTCACAAGAGAAGTCATGACTTTTATTTAGGGTTTAATGATTAAGAAGATTCCCCAGAGTATTATTTTTAGCTTTCCCATGTAAATCCCAGCTCCAGCACACACACTTGCAAAAGCAAAGAATGAAAAACTAGTCGGGGGGATACACTCAAATGTGGCTTCCATTCAAGGATTCCAAATAATGGCAGATTCAGGCTCATGTGTGTTATGGAAGCTATCTCTTCTTTAGTAAGAGAATAAAAGATATACTAGATAAAAAGTGTTTCCTTCTAAGCAACATTAAAATGAATATCCTGTATTCTTTTTGCCATTTAGATTGCAACCATGGCTTTGGAACACAACCAATCAACAGATTACTATTATGAGGAAAATGAAATAAACAGCACTCATGACTATAGTCAGTATGAAGTGATCTGTATAAAAGAAGAGGTGAGAAATTTTGCAAAAGTTTTCCTGCCTGCCTTCTTCACGATAGCTTTCATCATTGGACTTGCAGGAAACTCCACAGTAGTGGCGATTTATGCCTATTACAAGAAGCAGAGAACCAAAACAGACGTGTACATCCTGAATTTGGCGGTGGCGGATTTACTCCTCCTATTCACTCTGCCTTTTTGGGCAGTTAATGCAGTTCATGGGTGGGTTTTAGGGAAAATCATGTGCAAGGTCACTTCAGCCTTGTACACGGTCAACTTTGTCGCTGGAATGCAGTTTTTGGCTTGCATCAGCATAGACAGATATTGGGCAGTAACTAAAGCTCCAACTCATTCAGGAGTGGGAAAACCGTGCTGGCTCATCTGTTTCTGCGTCTGGACGGCTGCCATCTTGCTGAGTATACCTCAGCTGGTTTTTTATACAGTAAATCACAAAGTTAGGTGCACTCCCATCTTTCCATACCACCTACAAACATCAATGAAAGCATCAATTCAAATGCTGGAAATCTGCATCGGATTTGTGATACCTTTCCTTATTATGGGAGTGTGCTACTTTATCACGGCAAGGACACTCATCAGGATGCCAAACATTAAAAAATCTCGACCCCTCAAAGTTCTGCTCACAGTGGTTATAGTTTTCATTGTCACTCAGCTGCCTTATAACATTGTCAAGTTCTGCCAAGCCATAGACATCATCTACTCCCTGATAACCGACTGCAGCATGAGCAAACGCATGGATGTCGCCATCCAAATCACAGAGAGCATCGCACTCTTTCACAGCTGCCTCAACCCAGTCCTGTACGTTTTTATGGGATCCTCTTTTAAAAACTACATCATGAAAGTTGCCAAGAAATATGGGTCCTGGAGAAGACAGAGACAAACCGTGGAGGAGTTTCCTTTCGATTCTGAAGTCCCTACAGAGCCAACCAGTACATTCAGCATTTAAATGTAAAACTGCCCTGTGTCTTGCTTCGATACACATGAATGATGCTTCTCCCTCAGATAAAACATCTGCATTATTCTGAAATTCAAACCTCAAGCACGGTGGTGGCAACTTATTACAAAGAAGAGATTGGGGTGAGGAAGTGGGGAGGCATAGAAGCAAGCAGAAGAGGAAGCAGAATAATCAATGCATAAAACATGAAAATTAAAATGAACACTATCGGAAGGCAGTAATAACAAGCACAAGTAATAAGAACATTATGCTATAAGTTAGGTCATCTAAAACAGTAATAAGGAGGCTTATATTAAGGGGCATTTATATCTATTTTAAATTATGTAAGAATGATTTCCCTGAATAATTTTAATACATGTATAACTACATAACAAAATTTAATCTGTCCTCCTTTTCCTGTTTCTTAATTTTTCTTTAAAAATTTTTTTTTCTTTATTGATTTTAGAGAGAGGAAGGGAGAGGGAGAGAGAGATAAAAACATTGATGAGAGAGAACATCGATTGGCTACCTCCTGCATACCCCCCACTGGGGATTTGGTCCACAATCTGGGCATGGGCCCTGACCGGGAATTGAGCCGGTGACCTCTTAATACATGGGTCAACACTCAACCACTGAGCCACACCAGCCGGGCTTGTTACTTAAATTGTAAGTGCTTTCATAATAACAATCTACAGCAAAAAATAGTACATATAAAGCTCTTTCTGGCCCTTTAAATACATTCCTGATATGTTTCTAAATACATAATTTAGTTCCATATATCACATTTCTTTAGTAATAAACTGGCTATCCCATTAGATTTATCATGTATATTCTAGAAGCAATCCTCAGACAATCATATCTAATTATTATTATAATCATTTACTTTTATAACTTTCTAAAGGGTTCATCCATTTATGTGAGTCTGTTACTGAGAGTTGACTAAATAGTGTATTTTTGTATGTATATTCTTATTTTTCGTTTAAACACTTGTATTTTTAAGCAATGAAAATATGTACCACAATAAATTATTTTTAATAACATGTATAGTTTATCTTTAAAAACAATTATATGTAAATTATTATAGTTCATGTGATATGTCCCTATTAAAATTTAATTTTGTTAATAATTACAATGGTCAAAAATATTGTACACTAATATGAATTTTATTTTTCACAAACTGTAAAAGATGTTTTCTATTCTTAAAATAAACATCACCTAATCAAGACATGTTATTTTAAAAATACATTTCTTTTTATCAACCATTTTTAAATTTAAAAATGCTAAGACAGAATTTAAAGAACTGTGATCATAAAACTAATTAACTGTTATATTATTCTAGTACAGCATCTAGCACAAAGGGTCAGTCTGAATACTCACCACTGCTCCACCATTTCTTGCCGTTAACCACATAGCTATCTCCATCTTTTTGGATGCTGCAGTCAATATTTGTGGCATCACTGGATGCTACATCCGGCTCTATAAATAAGCGAAGGCTGAATTTACAGGAAGGCAGATACCATCGGTTTACCAAAGAGACTTAGATAAGGAAATGTGAACTCTCTGAGGACAGAGAGAGCAGAATCTTTGTCTTTTTCATCTTCCTACCCTTCCCCCGTTCTACCCTGGTTCTCCCATAACCTACAAATGTACGTATTCAATAACTGTGCATTGGAAGAACGAATGAATGACGTCAGAACAGTGGGGATCAGCAATCTGAATTGTGTCCTTGGTTTCCTCACTAATACATAATGTGGGATAAAACTCAATCCTTTTTTCAGTCAGCAAAAGTAGATTAAAAACACGGTTCTTCCCACAACGGAAGTCTGTAGTAAATATTTGCAAGCCAGATTTCCTTGTCATGCAGTTTACTATCTTAAACAATTTTTAACTGTGCCTTGCAAATTCTATCAAGAATGCTTTCACCAACTCATTTATTTTACATTCTACAAAGCCTGCTCAACACTTAATGTCTTCAGAAAGTTTTCCATGGAACTCATACATGACTACTTTACTGCATGGCATTTCAGAATTTACAGGCTAGCTCTCAATCATAGTAATCTGACCTTGGTCATATAATGCTCTTTTACATGGGTCTTTCAGATATTTCATGTGTTCTGTTTTTAAAATAAGAGACTCAGTTCCTTTAGAAAAGGGACCATGTACTCCACTTACTTTGTAACCGCAAATTCGTGCTTTGCAGGTAATACATCATGCTCCACGTGTTCAATAAATGTCTCTTACTAGTTTAAATGGAGATCGGTTTTGCTATTATAAATGTATGCAGTGTTATAGAAGTGAGTAAAATCTGGCCAAAATTATGGCCAGACGAAATTTAGTTTAATTCTAAACTCAATTATGAAATAATGTGGTTGTCCCTTCAAGAGTTCTTAATTACTGTTTCCTATGTACAAATGGTACCAAACCATTTTTATTAACACGCTCCTAACTTATTTCCCCATGTGATTATAATTTGAGTTATAAGAACAGTATTGGTGAAAGTTCTATTTTTTCCAGGTTTATGCAGAGTTAAGTATTTTGTAAGTGTCTATATAAAGTTATCACAAAGATGAATATTTCATACAAAAGGGCAAAAAAGATCTTAAATATCCATAGATGGCAATTTTGAAATGCAAGTCAAAAGATTATGAAACTAGGTTTACTCTGCTAATAAAGCCTAAAGCAGGCTACCAGAAAACATCATCTGGTGTCCTCCCTAGGGGGAGGATAATTTTATTGTGCACATTTAAAAATTCCAAAATTTAAAACTGGATTTTCACATTTCTGACCATGGACACATTTCCCTGAAACACAGAGCCACATCCTACTTTCTTCAGCTCATCCATAACAAGTCTGGGGTGACTGACTACCAGGGGAGAACAGTGGTCTGTCTTTACCTGTCATACAGAAGCAGGAGGCAATGCTCCCTTGAAGAAGAGGCTCAAGCCACTGCTGCTTCTGCTTTTCACTTCCATACAGGTGGAGCAACTCCATGTTTCCTGTGTCTGTACGTGATAAGAAAAGCATGCGTTTCTAATTTAAAAATTTACTAATATGAAGTGTAAGCTTCATGTAGACAATACAGACATGGATCTTTTTATTTTATTTTATTTTTTATCCTCACCAGAGGACATTTTTCCATTTTTTTTGTTCAGATAGAGCGGGAGGGAGAGAGAGGAAGAGAGAGAGAGAGAAACATCGATGTGAAGGGACACATCAAGTGGCTGCCACCCGCACGACCAACCAGGGCCGGGGACAAACTGCAACCGAGGTACGTGCCCTTAGCGGGAACCGATCCGCAGGCCGACGCTCTAACCGCTGAGCCAAACCAGCCAGGGCGGGACATGGATCTTTTTAAAACAAATGTTTGCTAACAGTATTTTGAAGAACAGTAAATATAATTTACAATGCAGGCATGTCATAAATAGTTACAAGTACATGGCATTCAGTGCATATTTATTCAACGTGTTCTGAATCACAGACACTTGTCCACTTCATCTTGATGAAGCATGGCTCTCATGAGGTCTGACTCAGGACTGATGAGAACAATTCACTGGCCTAACAGTTGCCTGGTATCTTGCATACATGCTCTGCGGGGAGTGACTGCAACACTCCTGGAAAACAAGAGACTCCAGTTCCTCACACACACCTTGTGCTGTCTAACTTCCACGTTTGCTCGGGCCAGGCCTTTTCTCAAGTGAAATTCTACCCATCATTCCTAAGTAAACTCCTGCTTCTGAGCCACCTTCATTGTGAGGAATCTCCGATTACCCCGTCAGAAATATCTCCTTCTGAACCCACATGGTAATTATTGTTGCTTTACCTCTAACATTACTCTTACTTTTGTGCACCCCATACCATCTAGAAAAGTACTAGGTCATATCTCAAGAATGCTAAACACAGAATCCCTGCCCTGTGTAGAAAATGGCAGTAGAAAATGTTAAAGACCCTCTCCTGAGAGGGCATGTTCAGTACATGATAACACTGTACTACTCTCAGGTTTAACAACAACAAAAGCTTCACGTCTGCCTTCAAGCAAAGTGCTCCAGATGCCTTTCTTTTTCATTCCTACCAAAGTTCTAAAAATATTTTCTAAAACCTTCCCCTCGAATAGGTTACTTATAAGATTTTGAGGAAGAATTTTTCAACATCACCTCTTACAATGACTTTAAGGATAGTCCCTAAAATGCTTATGAAAATTGAGTTACGTCTAAGTCTCTCAAAATATGTTTGTACTCTGTTCAGACACTCCTAACGGAGCCAATGTTATATAAAAATAAAAAATTCTTAGTAAATTAACACAAGCTTAACATTCTTTTTGACTGAGGGAGAAAATGAGTTCTGAACTGGAATTAATGAAACTCAATGTTTGTTTGTGTTCATTAGATATTTCTTGTTATAGTTCAAATGAGGTAAATATTGAATATAAAACTTCCAAAAATTACCAGTTTATTCCGAGAAGCTGGCAAAACGAAGGTTGGGGAAAGAGCCCAGATAAATAAATTATTTCTACAAAATTTTCCCTCAAAAATCAACCTAATGGCTCCCAAATTGTCCAGTAATAGATTTAGAATTAAAATTGCTATTTTCAACATTCCAATATACAATATTGTATGACTTATTGAAGAGTAAAAACAAACAAACAAACAAAAACAAATTGGAAGATGACATATGTTTCTCATGAGCTTTTATAACTACTTGGGAAATAATTTGGGTAGCTTGAGCAGAAATTCATCTTTTATACCTATGAAACCTACCAAAGTATTTAACTGGCATCAATTACATACTCTTTTTATCTGCTTTGGAAATGCTCTAAAACACAATGCCCTGAGCCCTACGTGAAGATATCTCCACTACAAAGAGAAGAAAACGCCTAGTGTTCTATTTATGATTTTACACATCTTGTTTGCTGAGGAGAGTCGTTGATCATACTTTGATAAAAGAGAATGCATTTTCCTGGCCAATTTTTAAATTTCAGCAGTTTGGTGATATCATTTAGACAGTACAACTGACAGACTCATGACATTTTAATACTAAAAAAAAAGTCCAGCCCTGGCTGGTTTGGCTCAACAGTTGGAACGTCGGCCTGTGGACCAGAGTCCTGGGTTCAGTTCCCGCTAGGGGCATGTACCAAAAAAAAAAAAAAAGTCCACAACAATCTAGTGAAAATTATGTTCACAAGTCAAATGGAGAAATAGTGGCAGAGCTGTACCTGCAAAGGATGTCCTCTATAGCATATTTGTCATATTAATTTAATGGAATATGGCTAGCAATCTATAAAAACTAAAATAGATCAAAAGAGAATACATTAGATTCGACTCAGTGGAAAATGTCTGAATATACTGCATGTAGTAAGGGAAACTTGTTTCACGAAGCCTTTTTTCAATAAGTATCTCTCTCCCCCCTCGCCTCCCCCTCTTCCACCCATCAGTGAGGGCACATACAACTACATATGCTGTATATTAGGTCATGATATAAAATATATTTCTTACTACTGAGTAACAATAAAAAAAGCTTTAAACAAAAGACAGTTCTCTTTCCACAAAATTAAGCCACCTATGCAGCATGATGTAGTAACTTCACACAAATGAGATAAATCTTTAGAAACTTTGAGAATAGATTTCTTTCCTTTAACAAAAGCTTCATTATTAGATTAAAATGTACAACAGTAATTTGATAACTCAGGCTTTTGAAGAGGGAAAACCACACCAGAGATAAGTTCAACCTTCAGTAGAAGTCTATGAACTATCTCAATCACTCCAAAGAAATGGGAGTGGAAGAACAGGGAGGAAACATTGTGCTAAACACAAGACTGTTTTCCCTGATGTCCAACATGCCTCCCTTTGGCAGTTCCACCCTCACTAACTCTTTTAGGGAAAGCTGTAGCACCGGAGCCAAACAATAAACACAAAAGGCAATACCGACGCCTATTGTGCAGGAACACCATAGGATATCACATGATCATCCTTCTTCTATGAATCAAATTCTAGTTCTTGACTGGCAGCATCAGAGTCACTTGTTAAAAACAAAAATTACAAAAGACATTCCCAGGGTCTACCCTAGACCTACTGACTCAAAATCTCCAGAGACGGGGCCTGTGAAACGGAATTATTTTTTAAAGTTCCTTAGGTGGTTCTTCTGAAAATCCAGGTTTGAAAACAACTTCTATAGATTATATTCCATTTTATCTTTTAGAAGAAAAGTTGGCCTCTTTCCTTTATCCTTTCAATTTTCATGCCAAAGTCCTTAGCAGCGTCCCTGACGTCCCCATTTGTCCCCCATATCCAATCAGGAAATCCTCTTGGCTCTGCTTTCAAAATATATTTAGAATCTTTCCACTCCTTACCCCTTCCACTGCTAGCACCATCATCTTTCACTAGGATTATTACAACAGACTCCCTGCTTCCCTCCTTTAGTTAATTCTCAACATAGCAGCCAAAATGATCTTTTTAAAACCTAAGTTACATTGTGTCACTGCTTTGCTCAAATCCCCAAGGCTTCCCATTTCACGGTTATAAGCCCTTATCTGCTCTATAAGGCCCAACATATAAAATGAGGTCCTTTCCTCTCTGATATCTTCTATTCTTCTCCCAGCCACACTGGCCTCCTTGGCTATTCCTGGCACACACCAATCACACTACTGCCTGAGGGCCTGTGAATTTTCTGTTCCCTCTGCTACGAAAACTCTTCCCCCAGACATCAGCAAGTCTTCATCAAATGTCATTTTCTAAATAAGGCCTAGCCCAACCATTCTATTTGAAATTGTAATCCATAGTCCTTGTCCCTCAGCATTCCAGAGCTCCCTTACCCTACTGAGTTTTTTTTTCAAAGCACTTTTCATCTTCAAACTTATTACATAATTTATTTATTTACTCTATCTATTACTTATTTCTGTCTCCCTCGATTAGATTAACTTCATGAGGGCAGGCATCTTTGTTTATTTTATTCCTTGATAAGGATCTAGAACAGGGTTTGGCACATAGTAGATAATAAATAATTGGCAAATAAATGGTAAGACAGTGAGGCTTATCAAAAATTTTGGAACTCTATTCATTCCAACTAGCCATAGAAATATCCAATACCCAGTCAGGAAACTGCAATCCTTATAGGTGGCAGATTCTATTCACTAATATTCTTTTTTTTTAACCCTCACCTGAGGATATTTTTCCATTGATTTTTCAATAGAATGGAAGGGAGGGAGGGAGGAAGGAAGGGGGAGAGAGAGAAAAAAAAAACAAACATTAATGTGAGAGAGACACATCAATTGGTTGCCTTCCACATGACCTCAACCGTGGCCAAGGATCGAACCTGCACCCCAGGTACGCACCCCTGACCGGGAATCAAAACCAAGATGTTTGGGTCCTTGTGCTGATGCTTTAACCGCTGAGCCAAACTGGCCAGGGCTATTCACTAATACTCTTAATGTAATGATGTATAACAAAAGAGTAATCCACTGAGAACATTAGATCCATTTTTAAATATTTAAATCAAAGTAAATAAAAAGTAAAATTATAGACAAATTTATAAATCAATGACTTCTTATAGGAAAAACTTCCTTGTCATAAAACAGAGAAATTATAACCATTGCTCAAAATATCTGAGAACATTTATTTTTAAATAATGCAGTAACCTACCTGGTGCTTGGCAGTTAAAGACTTCTGGAGCAAAAAAGCATTTTCCTGTTTCTTCAGCAACCAGGGCATAGTCTACCTGGCTTAGACCACTTGCAGCTGGCAGAAACAAGTTCCAGAGGCCCTCTGCTTTGGCCATTTCCTGTGGAGGTGATGAATATGCCAGAGTGACCATAATTTGCCATGACCCAAAATCGTGTTTTTTTTTTTTTATTATTTTTTTTTAAGATATTAGTATTTATGCTTTTTGAAATTTAAAAACACTTATGAAGTTACTTATTTCACTGTATCTTAGTGTGCAAAAACAAGTAGTTATTAATTCATCACAAATCAACAGTTTCTTAACTGTTAAAGAAATGACTTTCCTTCCAAACTTCCTTAGATTTAGCTGAAAAATTAAATTTGTTTGGGTCCTTCTTATTGAATCATAGCTATTACAAAAGCTCCCATAGTTAAGTAGAATTATGCCAAATAGCTATTTTTTGCATGGTGACTTCAGTCTCGATTAAGTGACAGACAGTAGTTAGTAGTGCTGATTCTATTTTTTTTCTTTGAACAGTTATGAGAGGCTGTCTTCATCACATATCATATATAGAACACTATGCAACCTAATTTATATATTACAGATGCTATTTTTAACCTTTTAAAAAAGGTATTACTGATATAAGTATCCTCTACATATATAATAAACTAAGATCTTATAAAACACCTCCATTTAAATTTTCCAATGTTCAAGGTTTGCTGATTTTTCTTACCTTGAGTTTATCAATCACTGAAGGTTTTTTCCACTTGTCTAATGAATTTTCATTTTGAACATAGAACTCAATTACCTCCTTAAAGTAATAAAAAGAAAAAAGTTCATTAGCTAAAATTAATACAAGGTAAATAATGCCATAAACTGTTACTATCCAAAGAAAACATATTTAGGTGATGCAGTTTTTTTTCAGCTGCAATTAAATCAATAATATTTCTTTCCAAAACCAGACACAGAAGTATAAAATATTTCAGAGGCTTGCTGCTCACAAAATTATGCTCCCTCAATATTGACTCCCAAAATCTTACACCAAAGTTTGAATGTTTCATTCAGCAGTATGGCATACTAGATGGTCTACCCCTCCCAGGGCAGTACAACTAAAAATATCAGGCAAAACATTGAAAGCAGATACATTTAGTAATGCATAGCTGTGCTGGAAGGAAATGAAGCAAATTCCTCAGAAGTCAGGAGTACGGAAAGCACGGAGCCGGGTTTGTCTGGGGGATGTAGCTCACTCATGTGAGCCTGGGCCTTAATTTTTAATAGTCACATAGGCAGGGGTCAGGAGACAAAGCCAAATGCCCCCAACAGGGCAAGAGAGAGGCTCAAAGGTCATCCCTTTCCTTCACCACAGCCAGGGTACCTAACGGGAAACATAAGTGTTAAAAAAAAAGGAAAATAAAAACCCACACCTCAGAGATAGACCAATGGAATAAGCTATATCTACTATATATACTAACTAGAGCAGAAAGTTTCCCAAGTGATATTTTAAGCACTGAACACATATAAGAGTTGACTATTTTAGATAGAATTTCCTCAAATCTAACTAGTATTTTCTTAAAAAAAACTATATTCCATTCTGTGAGCAAAGTTAATCTCATGCTAGATCTTTATGAAAAATATCATTATTTATATAATTCAAGCAATAACACTAACCGCCTTATAAACACATACTGACTGAACATTTTCATTGAAGGAATTTTGGTCTTTTTCATTTTTCTATTTAATTTTGCCAGCCTGGCTCTAGACCTCTTGGAATCATAGAAGATTAAATGGGAATTTACTGTATATCTAGTTGTACCTATTCCCACTGTAGATGAAGAACTTAAGGCTCTAAGAGACTGTTATGTGCCCAAGACCACCTAACTTGTGGCAGAAACGGGCTAAAATCAAACCTCTACAATTTCTACACACATACCCCAGCTCACCTGCTTTACATATTTTCATAATAGCTTTTCTGTTTTCTTCACATCATCTCTTATTTAATGTCTTTCTTTCATGTTCAAGTATGAGCTTCACAGGAGTTAAGCCCTGTCTGTCTTGTTCTTTCTTTTACTTTCAAGGCTCTCCAGATGCCTAACCCATTATAAGATTCCTGAAAATTATTTGTTAACTGTATGAATGAATGTATCATGTCACTTATTTACCCTCAGTGAAATGACTGAAACTTAATACCTTAAAGTAGTAGCATATGGTGGTATTTGTGAACAACTTGAAATTATATACAAAATTTTCTGGGTATGCCTACCTTGTTTCCTCTACAGTTCTCTTAATTATCAAAGAGGTCCATTAAAAAAAAAAAAGCTCAAAGTCACTGCGTTGGGCAAAGGCCACCAAGGTAGTATGTTACTCTAATATAGTAAGGATCAGAACTTTACAAAAAAAGTTAATTCCTTTAGACTTAATTTTAACTCCAAAGATGTGTCTGTAGCATTCCCTTGGCATATTTTAGAACCTTGGATATGATCAGGATCAGGTTCTGTAGCAGCTCAGTGCTAAGGTTAGGAGGGGCATCTAGTTAAAGATTGACTGCCATGTACTTAAGCATATGATGGTACTCCTAGAAGCAGAGATAACAGGAGTAATACAGTAGTCCTTGAGCACAAATACATTCTGTTCACACAATACTTACCTTTTCCGCTGGAAGGATGTGCTGTTTCATGAAACGCTTCACTCTAGTAAGAACTTCCTGGCCTCTCCTGGTCTGTACAAACAACTCTCGGGTAGTATCAATCTGTGATAGTGTAGTTCTGAAAGTTCTTTGTAAAAAAAGAAGTTACAAAAATATCCAAAATTATTATATTTCTGAATATAATGTGAAGTCTTCCCAAGTTCCCCCAAAATAACACTCAGAAGGAGTTGCCATATATATATGATTTGAGAGAGAAACATCAAAACATTGATTGGTTGTCTCCCATACATTCCCAACTGGGATTGAAACTGAAACTTAGGTATGTGCCCTGACCAGGAATCGAACCTGCAACATTTTGGTGTATGGGACAACGCTCCCCCCAGTCAGGGTAGGAGTTGCCATGTTTTGGAATTTAAAAAAAAATTTTTAAATAATTTTTTATTAATTTATTTTTGTTACAGATGTTTCTCCTTTTTTTCCCCATTGACACCGTCCCCGCCCCCACCCCACCCCATACCCGGCTCTGTTGTCCGTGTCCATCGGTTATGCGTACATGCATATAAGTTCTGTGGTTTATCTCTTTCCTCCCCCCACAACTCCCTCTTCTGAGGGTTGTCAGTCAGTACCCTACTTCTACGTCTCTGGGTCTACCCTATTCCTCAGACTGTTATGTTCATTATATTCCACAAATAAGTGAGATCATGTGGTATTTGTCTTTCTCTGCTTGGCTTGTTTCACTTAGGATAATACTTTCCAGGTCCCTCCATGTCGTCTCAAAGGATAAGAGATCTTTCTTTCTTACAGCTGCATAGTACTCCATTGTGTACATGTACCACTGCTTTTTTATCCATTTGTCTACTGATAGACACTTGGGCTGTTTCCAGAGCTTAGCTATTGTAAATAGTGCTGCTACAAACATGGGGGTACATATATTCTTCCTGATTGGTGTTTCAGGCTTCTTAGGGTATATTACTAGAAGTGGGATCACTGGGTCTAATGGCAGTTAAATTTTTAATTTTTTGAGGTAACACCATATTGTTTTCCATAGGGGCTGCACCAGTCTGCATTCCCACCAGCAGTATACTAGAGTCCCCTTTCCTTCACACCCTTGCCAACACTTGTTGTTTGATGATTTGTTGATGGCAGCCATTCTGACAGGTGTGAGGTGATACCTCATTGTTGTTTTAATTTGCATCTCTCTGATGATGAGTGACGTTGAGCATTTCTTCATATGTCTCTTGGCCATTTGTATGTCCTGTTTGGAGAGGTGTCTATTTAGCTCCTCTGCCCATTCTTTAATTGGGTTCTTTGTCTTCCTTTTGTTGAGTTGTATGAGTACTCTATATATTATGGAAATTAACCCCTTATCTGATATATCATTGGCAATCATGCTCTCCCATACAGTGGGTTGCCTTTCCATTTTGGTGGTTGTTTCTTTTGCTGTGCAGAAGCTTTTAAGTTTGATAGTCCCATGTGTTCATTTTTTCCTTTGTTTCTGTTGCCTTAGGTGATGTATCGGTGAAAATTCTGCTGCATATGATGTCCGAAATTTTGTTGCCTACATTTTCTTCTAGGATTTTTATGGATTCACGGGTCACATTTAAGTCTTTTATCCATTTTGAGTTTATTCTTGTGTATGGTGTAAGTTGATGGTCTAGTTTCATTTTTTTGCATGTAGCTGTCCAATTTTCCCAAAACCATTTATTAAAGAGGTTGTCTTTACTCTATTGTATGCTCTTGCCTCCTTTGTCAAATATTAATTGAGCATAATGTCTTGGGTCCATTTCTGGGTTCTCTGTTCTGTTCCAATGGTCTATGTGCCTGTTCTTGTGCCAGTACCAGGCTGTTTTGATTATAGTAGCTTTGTACTTTGTCCTTCTTTTTCAAGATTGCTGTGGCTATTCGGGGTGTTTTTTGGTTCCATATAAACTTTTGAAGTATTTGTTCTAGCTCTGTGAAATATGTCGTTGGTATTTTTATGGGGATTGCATTGAATATATAGGTTGCTTTGGGTAATATGGACATTTTAATGAAATTTTGGAATTTTTAAAGTCTTTCATATTAAGGGGTGAATGCAGAGTGATTTTATTTCGAACATCAATTTCTAATGCTTAAGCATTATTTGGGGAACACAAGTCTGGCATGACCTCAATCGATGATAGTGTTGAATCTATTGAAATCACTTCTTAGAATCTCTAAAAAATGGGGGGTGGGGGTAGAAGGAACCAAAGAAATTGAACATAAATTTAATAATTACTGTTAGTATATGCCTCACAAATATAACTGCTGGGTGTCATTATAAACAAGACCTCCAAAGATCATTATGAAGAGCAACACAGTCTGTTGTTATGTCGTAGAGATTACAAATATCCATCCATAAAGTGAACTGTACAAACACACTGTCCTAACATTATGCCATAAATACCTGTGGCTTGGGCAGAATTTTCAGGGATAGCGTCATCCACAAATTGAGAAAGACCCATATATCACACCACTTAGATGGAAATGTGGATGGCAAAGTATATTATATGCTTCAAAAGGTGCTCCACTGATGGAGACATGGCTTTCAAAGACACTTAAAAAATGTCTGAATAAGATTTCATGGCATATGATGGTAGAAGAGAGCAATATTTCTAAATTTAATACATCACCTTTTATAATCTATCATTTTAAATAAGTATATGGAAGTAACAGATATCAGAAAGAAGCATTTGAGAGTTTTATTTCTATTCTTAAAAGTTTATATACTCATGTGGTCAAAAATACCTTTAATTATAAATATGGGAATTTTCTTTATATTTGAAGTCAATTTATTTTCAGGCAGATAAGACATTTACCAAACACACTATTATGATTGGCTTCAGCACTCCTGGTTTAAGAAATAAAAACAATCCCTGTCCCCCTAAAGTTTACAACCTTCAGATACCTAACAAAGGCTCTATTTTGGGTTAGCTAAGGAATCTATTTTGCTTACCTTTTTGAGAGTTGTAATCCAGTTTCTGCCAGAGGTTGCACAACATTGGCAAACTGAAAGCTATTCTCAGATACGTTATTCCCCAGAAGATATCTGCTATATACTCCCTATAAGTAAATTAACATAGAACAATTAAAGTTCATTGAAAACTATTCTTTAGCTATCCAGTTGTGGCAGTTTCCCAGCTATGTGAGTCACTAAACTCACAAGGTACCAAGATAAAATCAGATTATCATTTCCATTAATTTACATGAAGGAATAACCATCCCCTCGCCTTAAAGAGCCATACTTGTATCATATGGTTAATACACTCTCATCCTAACAGAATTGTAACTGGGAATCAAACCAAACTTGAAAATGAGCTTAGCAGTTACTAAAGATACCAAATTGGCAAGTCATATCACCTCTAAAAAATCAATGCTTTCCCTTCACAGTGGGGGAAATCTAAAGAAACCAAAACAAAATTAAAAACTATAAAACCAAAAAGAAAGCAATGAGATGACCTCTCAAAATACTTTATCTCATTTTTTGGACCCCTATTTTAAGTGAAACTGTTTCCTTTGAACAGTGTTAACTGAATGCTAACCAGTTTTTCTTAATTCTCCATAATATATACTTATTCTCTTCTCCTCTGCTTCCCCACCAAAACACAATCAACTGAATTTCATTACTTTATTTTATACATTCTTTTTAAAAAAATGTTTTTATTGATTTTTTTTTTTAGAGAGAGAGAGATATAAACATCAATGTGAGAGAGAAACATCAATTGGCTGCCTCCTACACGCCCCCCACTGGGGATCCCCCAGTATGTGCCCTGACCAGGAATCAAACCGGGTCCTCTCAGTCCATGGGACGACCCTCAATCCACTGAGCCACATTGGCCGTGCTTTTTTATATAATTCTTTATGTAATAAAACACTAAAAGCTTTACCATTATTTCCAATTTCACATGTATAGTTAGAATGGAACGTTAATGATCATTTCTAAGGCTACTACTACAGGATGAGGCAAAAGTAGGTTTTCAGTTGTGAGTACAAGAAACAATTTATTCTTGTATTAATATTTATTAATTATTGGATTATTTTACATATGAACAACTGTAAACCTACTTTTGCTCCACCTTGTATATAATTTATAATATATACTACTTTCAATCATAACTCATGTCAAACTTTTATTTGAAATGAAAATCCATTTTAAATTCAAAGCCCTTTTGGTATCTGATTTGTGGAAATTGAAAGATATAGAAACATAGCATAAACCCTGTTTTAAGAAACCCATCCAATTCACTTGATTAACTAATATGATTAATATGATTGTAAAATACAGGATTAGATGTAACACAACAATTTCCTAGAAGACATTTCAGTTGTTCATGGATGGCATGAACTCTGAACAGAGAAACATAACCATAATTGTCCTTAATCTTTCTTTTCCCATTCTTTTTTATTTCTAAAATCTCTTATTTACCTTTTCTTCCTTCAATCCCTAGCCCCTTGCCACTGATATATTTCAATTTCTTAAATAAACCTCCAAGATTCAAAGTACATAGAAACTGAATTACTATACTAAAAACTGCATTTGTTTAGATTAAGCTGTAATTTTTTAAACAACAGAATTTATACTCAATTATTTATATAAATATGACATTATTAGAAAATGGAAAAATTTACTCATCTATTCACTTGAAAACATGTATTAGGAAGTTACTAGAGCCCGGCTGGTATATAGCCCGGCTGGCTCAGTGGTTGAGTGTTGACCCATGAGAACTGGCTGTTTCCAGAAGGTCGCCGGTTTGATTCCCCAGTCAGGGCACATGCCCAGGTTGTGGGACTGATCCCCAGTGGGGGGCATGTAGGAGGTGGCCAATGAATGTTCTTTCTCATCGATGTTTCTATCTCTTTCTCCCTCTCCCTTCCTCTCTCTCTAAAAATTAATAAAGAAAAAAAAAAGAAGAAGCTACTATATGATAGGCACTATGCTAGACTGGGAAGTTCAAAGACAATTCTTTCCTTATCAACACACCTGCTTAATATATGGCTTTATAGTCTAAAGCAGACATCATTAAAAGATTTTAGACCCAGTGATCCCACTTCTAGGAATATACCCTAAGAAGCCTGAAACACCAATCAGGAAGAATATATGTACCCCCATGTTCATAGCAGCACTATTTACAATAGCTAAGATCTGGAAACAGCCCAAGTGTCCATCAGTAGACGGATGGATAAAAAAGCTGTGGTACATATACACAATGGAGTACTATGCAGCAGTAAGAAAGAAAGATCTCTTATCCTTTGAGACAACATGGAGGGACCTGGAAAGTATTATCCTAAGTGAAATAAGCCAAGCAGAAAAAGACAAATACCACATGATCTCACTTATATACGGAATATAATGAACATAACAGTCTGAGGAATACGGTAGACCCAGAAACATGGAAGTAGGGCACAGACTGACATCCCTCAGAAGAGGGGGTGGGGGGGGTGGGAAGAGATAAACCACAGAACTTATATGCATGTATGCATGACCAATGGACATGGACAATTAAGCCGGGGACGGGGCGGGGGTGGGGTGGGGAGGGGGGTGCCAATGGGGTAAAAAAGGTGAAATATCTGTAACAAAAAAATAAATAAAAAATAAAAAATAAATAAATAAATAAATCCTGAAAAAAAAAAAAAGATTTTAGCTCTGTTTTAAATGGGATATTCAGGAAACAGCCAATTCTCACAAGGTTTTCTCTTTTTGTCAATGTTTGTCTCCCTTCCTCCATCTTTTAAGTTTATTATACCAAAAAGTGGTTACACATTTTGCTACTCAACTTTTTTCCTTGCCAAATTCCTATTCTGTTAATTCTGAATTTGTATTTTACTCATGTCTGGTATTTGTCATTATGAAAAAACTAATGATCTGATGATAAAAAATATAAACCCCCTGAAGACCAGAAAATATTGTCAATAGTACATTAATAAATAATGGTGAACAATGCTAAAAACAATTAATTACCTGCAATATTCCAGCTAGTTTAAAATATGCAAGGGCAACAAAAAAATTCCAGTTAGGAAGAATATAATCAATCCCCCTGCAGCGGCAATATATTGAAATTAATTCTTCCAGTGATGGTATCCCTATAAAAATAACACATACTGTAAACGGTAACAAAAATGTCCTAGCAAATATTCAAAATGTCATAGTAGTGCATATGTTTATAAAATTAAATATAATAACCATTAGTCCACATAACAAAACATGTTCTAAATATTGATTTCCAAAGGAACACTATATAGAGGATTACATTTTGTCATAAATTACTTAAAGTGGAATGCTATATTCAGAAAATCAATAAAAAATAAAATTATTTTAGAAACATTTCAAAAACCATTTATCTAAAATTGTAATATAACCCTGTTTTTAAGTTATGAGGAATAATAAAGATAATTTTATATTAATAGCAATTTAGGCAAAATTATTATTTATACCTATATTTTCTTGAAAATAAGAGCCTTGATTTATCAGTGGAACTGTCCTTGGCCAAAAGTAGAACAAGGAGAAATGAGCTAAGTCTGACAAAGGATGACCAATGGTTGAAAGCTCCCAATCCAGTACAGCTATAACTCGAGACTGTAATAAAAAATAAAAAGGTTTTGCATGAAAGAGAAATTACGTAGAAGGCTGAAATGTCTTCAACATCAAGAGAACTTTAATGTATATATAATCCCCAGAAAGCAGCTTATGCTGGACAAAAATGAGTCAAGTACAAGGCAACACCATATGCTGAGAGTGGGAGTCTAAATAAGAAAAGCAATTTGAGGGCTGGAGAAAAATGGAAAAGATGTGAAAAAGCCATTTTTTAAAAGTCTCAGATTTTACAGAGCTTAGATGAAATTATGCAGCATAAATATCTCCCAGACCCAGTTAACTTGTCTTCCTGCCTATTATGCAGTAAAAATATGACTCAGGCTCAGTGTTGGATATTGTGTCAAGTCAAGAGATAAGAAGATCCTGGAATAATAAGTTATCTAAGGACAGGAAACTTTATAACTCTTATATCACTTGTACACATCCAGTCAAGAAATTATTAATTCAATTGATAACAGAGAAGGTAGTTTTTTTTAATGATTGCTCATACCCATATGGGCCAGTCAGGAAAAGAAGTCAAATGAAGTCATAAGGGGTTCATGGATTCTACAGTAAGAGCAATCAAATTTGCAGCATCTCAGGAGACACATAAAGAAATAAAAGAAGTAGAAAGTGAAGAGGGCATGGCAAAATATAAGTGGTTTCAATTTCTAGATCACTGAAGTTGACCAGTTCCAGTGAAGATGAGAAGCAATATAATGTAGAAGGTATTATATAGCATTGAAGTCTATTGGCTTGAGCCCAAAACACGGCTTTACTACCAAAGAGCATTTACTAAACAGTATTTTAAAAATATGCTGTAAAGTAAAATGGTTGAAAAGAACCCAATCTCCACATCTTTTCTAGGAATAAAATTAAAATGTATAACTATGCTTTCCCCCAACTACACTGACATCTTAGAGACAATGGGGATAATTAAAAAAAAACAAAAACATTAAAAATACAAATTTTGTTTTTCATATCATTTTTTTCTTCAGAAGTTAATACACAGAAGACTGCAAAGCAGATGACTTCCAAAGCACCAGTATATATGTATTTGCTATTTTATTTTAGAACTTACCTTTATTGTTAAATATATTACAGATGTCTGCCCATTTTTCCCCCACTGACCCTCTCCTCCCCATTTCCACTTGCCTCCTGCCTTCCCCACACTATTGTCTATGTCCACTGGTTACGCATATATGCATATAAATTCTTTGGTTTATCTCTTCCCGAGCCCCCTGCCCCCTTTCCGTTCCCTTTCCTTTGAGGTTCCTCCGTCTAACAACCAATTTGTATAGTTCTTAATCCCTTCACCTTTTTCACCCATCCTCCCAACCCCCCCTCCTATCTCACAACCAACAAAAAGTCCTCTGTATCTATGAATCTGTTTCTGTTCTGCTTGCTCATTTTGTTTGTCAATTCAGTTGTTGATAGATATGTATTTATTGCTATTTTATTGTTCATATTTCTTATTCTTCAAGAAGACCCTTCAACATTCTGTATAATACTGGCTTTGTGGTGATAGACTCCTTTTGCCTTTTCTTGTCTGGGAAACTTTGTATGTCTATCAATTCTAAAAGATAGCTTTGCAGGATAAGATAATCTTCATTGTAGGTCCCTCTTTTCCATCACTTTGAATATTTCTTGCCACTCCCTTCTGGCCTGCAAAGTTTCCTTTGAGAAATCAGCTGACAGTCTTATGGGAGCTCCCTTATAGGTAACTAACTGCTTTTCTCTAGCTGCATTTAAGATTTTCTTTGTGTTTAACCTTTTGCAGTTTGATTATGATGTGTCTTGGTGTGGGCCTCTTTGGGTTCATCTTGTTTGAGACTGTATTTCCTGGACTTGTTTCCTTCACCAAGTTAGGGGAGTTTTCTGTCATTATTTTTTCAAATAGGTTTTCAATTTCTTGCTCTCTCTCTTCTCCTTCTGGCAACCCCATGATGTGAACATTGGTACACTTGAAGTTGTTCCAGAGGCTCCTTACACTATCCTCATGTTTTTGGATTCTTTTTTCTTTTTGCTGTTCCGATTGTTTTTTGCTTCCTTATATTCTAAATCGATGGTTTGCTTCTTGGGTTCACCTACTCTACTATTGATTCCCTGTAAATTATTCTTTATTTCAGTTAGTGAATCCTTCATTACTGACTGGTCCTTTTTTTTTTTTTGCTCTTCGGGTCCTCACTAAGTTCTCTGAGTATCCTTTTAACCAGTGTTTTGAACTCTGCATCTGATAAATTGCTGATCTCCATTTTGTGTAATTCTTTTCCTTGAATTTTGTTCTGTTCTTTCAATTGGGACATGTTTCTGTATCTCCTCATTTTGGCTGCCTCCCTGTGTTTGTTTCTATGTATTAGGTAGATTTGCTATGTCTTCTATGCTTTGTAGAGTGACATATTGTAGTAAGTGTCCTGTAGGGTCCAGTGGCACAGCCTCCCTGAACACCCCAGCTGGGTCCTTGAGGTGCATTCCTTGTATGGACTGTACACCCTTCTTTTGTAATTGAGTCTTGATTATTGTTGGCACATCAATGGTAGGGATTTACTCAGGCTGATCAGCTGCAAGGACTGGCTGTAACTTCTGACCACAGACCTCTGACTACCTTGGAGGATCAGCTGTGCAGGGGCCCACCACACAGAGCAAGACTTACTTCGGCAGGGCTCTAGAACCCACTGAGTCCACTCCTTGAGTGTGTTGCTTGTGGAAGTGGTTGGGTGGTAGTGCTTCGACATGGTCTGAAGCTGTTCACTGGATGTGATCGTTCTGGGGCAAGGACAGCCACTGCTTGTGTTCCACCAAGGATCACCAGGCATAACCTACAAAGCAATGTGAAGATGGCTGCTTCTTGGGCTGGGCCTGGAGGTGTCCAGACAAAGCCAAACTGTGAACCAAAGCTGGCTGCTTCTAGTGCCAGGCCTGGGGCTGCTTAAAGAGAGGTATGGGGCTCACTGAGGCCAGATGCTTCTTATTTGATAGAATTTATAAAATTTGAAGCAGGCGCCAAAATAGGCCAATCTATGGTAAAGTGATTGGAAAACGCTTAGTTGGGCTTAAAAGTTGGGTGGGGCAGGGCCTCAGGGAATCATCAGGGCAGAGCAAACAGTGTGAGTTAGGTTGCTGGAGTCTCAGATATGGTGCCTGTCTACCAGCCCTATGGGGGAAGAGCTCATCAAAGGAACAACGGCCTCCGCCAGCACATCTGTCAGGAGAAAGCTGCCTCTCCAGCCCCGATGCCAAACAACTCAGTTCTTCCCTGTATGTCTCTGGTGCCTTTCAAGCTGCCTCCCCCATGCTAGAGCCTGGAGAGTGTGAGCCTGAGTAAGTCTGTGCTTGGGCCCTTTAAGAGGAACTGCCTGGGGCTCCAGAAGCCTCAGCCTCCTCAGCCTTAATTCCTGCTGGTTTTTATAGCAAGAAGTTATGGGGACTTATCTTCCTGGCATTGGAACCCTGAGCTGGGAGGCCTCATATGGGACAGGGACCCCCAACTCCTCAAGGAGGACCTTCACAGCCTTCCTGATTTTTATCCTCCACATGTGGGTTTGGGACCAACCCATCCATGCCTCTGCCTGTCCTACCAGTCTTGATGTGGCTTCTTTAATTTTGTAGTTGTAGGACTTCTATTCAGCTTGATTTCAGGCAGTTCTGAATGATGGTCGTTCTGTAGTTTAGTTGTAATTTTGATGTGGTTGTGGGAGAAGGCGAGTACCATGTTTACCTTATATTTGCTATTCTAAATACATCTGACTACTAATTAATATAGATGAAATAGCTATAGTTTATCTGTTTCCTATGAAGAATATTCGTCTTTCAAGTTGAAATGGCAATATGCACATAAAACTCCAAATCTTAAACACTTCTCTGCCAGATGGATAAGGTTTATATTAAGAAGGTTAACAGTATTTTCCAGGAAAACCAGATTTCTTTTGAATATTGCAGTGACAGTGTTGCACTGTTGAAATACATGCTTGAACATACTTCAAGTACTTTACAATAAGTAAATGGAAAATAACCAGGGATTGTGAAACTGAGTAATATGCTTTTGTTTGCCATAAATTTTAGTAATCCTTTACTGGCTAACCACACATATTCCTGGAAAGCTTATCACTTAAAATTGTTTTTCTTTTCTTTCTTAATTGTTTGGTTTTCTGAGTATAAAAATAAAACATGCTGTTTTGCAAAAAAAAAAAACAATAAAACCTCTAACCTTAAACATTACAGAAATGCACAACCTACAAGTCTACTATAATTTCTTCCCCTACAACCATTGTTTAAATTTTAGTAAATATTATGAAAAATTTACATCTACCTTAATACTTTTCTGAAGAATAGAGAATGATATTCAGTCTTAGAAAAGAAGAATAAAAAACCAGCAACCCTGAGATCCACCCCCAATTTAAATGTGAATTTCCTGACTTTAATAATATTCTATAGTTGTGTGAAATCATTTGGAGAATCTGGATGATGGGAACACATGACCCTTTTGTACTTTTTTACAAGTACTTTTGTACTTTCTTTTGAGTCTATAAATTATTTCAAAATAAAAAGTTAAAAACTGAGGAACAGAGAGGGGCTAAATAATTTGCTTTACAGTCACACTACTAGAGCATAAAAATTAAGCATAATATATGAAATAGAAATAGTTACTTAGCGATGAACTAAAATCAATTCCTTCATCATGGATTCATTCAGAAACATGTAACCACCTGCTACATAAATGAATACGACAGTCACTGCTTTAGAGGAGTTCGCAGTCTAGTAGATCCTCACTCATTCAGGATCTACCATATAGATCCTAGAGGCAAAAGTTAAAAAAAACATTTTTAAATCCTTACCCTCAAGGAAAAAATTAAAAGTTTTCAATAATATTGCCATAAATATACACTGGTGAGCACCCACACATATTCAACTCCAATTGTGGAGTGCCCTCATTAAAAAAGAAACATAGCCCAATTTTCTATTAGGAAATTTTTTAAATGAAGTGGAAAAGATAAACTATTGACTAAAATTAAAGTCTAAAATTTTATACCTCTTAATGCCAGTTCACAGTGGGTACTTTTCCCTCTTTGACTACTCTTATAATTCATGTTGTGTGATATACTTTAGTACTTGGGTATATATTGTTCTCAACCATTCCCTGAGTATTTTTTATCTCCATCGGTATTTTGAGCTTATTAAGCGCTGTGTTTCCTTTCCAAAACCATGTGTCAGAGCACATAATTGGTAATGAATAAATTCTAGTTGACTTGTACTCTGCCAACCATGTTACTTTCATAAAAAATTAGCTATAATATTTACAGGAGGCAGAAATTGATTAAACTTAATTTAACCAATAGTTATGGGATTACTAGATATAAAGTAGAAGACATCTCACTAGCTACTATATAATCCTAAAACATTAAAAGATAATGATATAGGTAACAAATCAGTAGTGCAGCTAAATAGCTTAAAGCTATGCCACTACCAGTTGTTTCTTTTGTTTTTTTATCCTCACCTGAGAACATTTTTCCATTTTTTGTTCAGATAGAGTGGGAGGGAGAGAGAGAAAGAGAAAGAGAGAGAGAGAAACACTGACATGAAAGGGACACATCGAGTGGCTGCCACCCGCACGACCAACCACAGTTGGGGACAAACTGCAACCGAGGTACGTGCCCTTAGTGGGAACCGAACCCGGGTGTCTCTGAACCGCAGGCTGACGCTCTAACTGCTGAGCAAAACCGGCCAGGGCCCAGTTGTTTCTCTTAAAAAAAAGTCTCTCCCCAACTATTGAATATTCTGCTTGACTACAGGACGATGACACCTGTTTGTCAGCCTTAATCCTGTAAAAATGACTTTCTAATATCAGATTAAATATAAAGAAGGAATAACTTTTTGGTACTTACTGTAGTATGTCATTACTTTCTCATATTATGCTAATCCTAAAATTGAAACATCTTGTAAGACAACACATAATTCAAGAGATCTCAGTCTGAATTTTTCCTTCCTTGCTTAAGTGATGAATAGAACAAAACTATAGTTACATTACATATAAAGGACTCTGACTTATTAAAAAATAGGCTCCTAAAATATTAATGAATCAAATGATATAGAACAAATACAGATCAGATCCTGCTATGTTTTAAGTTATAAGCTTTTATAATTTTTCCAGGTTATATATTAGTATTTCTTAATTCTCTTACTCTATATTTAACAAAGTTAGAATTCATCAGTGCCATTAACAAAAGGTTGCACACACACACATAATTACATATACATACTTTTAATATCCAAATTGACTTTTCTAGAAAAAGTTTTGTCTTGCTGTTGAATGTGCTCACATGTGTTTATACAGTATTTGAACTATCCATTGATATAGTACTACTTTGAATTATGACAATAATATAATTTATAATGCTGTTTTTCTCCTGTCCTTTTCCTACGGGGAAATAATACAAAAACTAAAAAATTTAGCACACGAATTTAGAGCAAATCTTCCTGTCCTAAACCATCTTAGCATTCTGAGAAAATGAATGAACACAGAAAACCTTCCTCTAAGAAGCAGGATTCATAGAACTATAAATCTTTCATATTAATGTCAGAACACTAAGGGTTAAATGTCTTACCCAAAGCATAGGTAACGAGAGGAGAACTGAAGGAGCTTCCTCATTCCCACCACACTCCTCCAATCCTAGGCCTCACTGTCAGTACCCAGTGGAGGAGGGTTATATTTTTGTTTGTATTCCTTATAAAGATTACACTGTGTGCATTAAACAGAGCAAGCTTACATTAATCTCGTGCAATTCTTTCTAGGTCTCAAAAGAGGCTTTTGGAATTCTGTCTTCTCTGAGCTTATAATAATCAAATTTAAAAACCTTCATAGGATAGGAAAAAGAAATAAAAATGAACCAGAAGAGAGAACATGAACATGGATAAGCTAAATATTTTTAGATGAAAAATGTCTTTGAAGAAAACAGCAACATACACGTAAATTCCCAAATCCTATTTAAACAGCAAATCAGATATCACTCAGGATTAGAACCATCCCTAAAGGTAGGCAGCTACCCATGTCAGAAAATCTGCAAGACTCATTTCTAAAAGTTTGAGGGGTGAAAACAGTCCTGAATATAGAGGAAAAGTGGGGATGGGTTGGGGTCCTTCAGCACATGTGTCCCATATCAGACCGACTTAATTTATTGTAAACATGGCTTACAATACCTCTGTAGGGTGGAAAATTATGTTATCTAGTTTGAAATCTCCATGAATCAATTTTTCTTCATTATCATTATCTGGCAAGTTTTTCATTAGCCAGTCAGAGAGCTGGTTCATGGCAGGGATGTCTTGGTGGGCTGCAGCTTGATATTGCTTTGTCCAGGTTGATACCTAAAGGTGTATAAAAAAGAAAAATGATAGAGCCAAAAGTGGAATGCAAGATCCAGCATTTATAAAATTAAAATGAAATTCAATTTTATCAAAGTTGGTTTTATTTTTATTTTTTATTAATTTATTTTTGTTATACATGTTTCCCCTTTTCCCCCCACTGACACCCTCCTCCCGGTAAGTTGGTTTTATTTTTAAATTCTCAAGACAAATGCCTGTAAGTGATGATCATATCAGCCTAAAACTAATTAATATCAGCCTAAAAATTTAAACATTTAAGTCTTTCTTCCATCTAGTTCCATTTTACTTACATAGGTTTTTATCACACACTACTAGATTGTTTTTATTTAGCAACTACTTTGAGGAAGAAAAAAAGAATGCACATAGACACACATACACATACACGTACACAAATAGGCTTAGAAAAATAAATTATGGAAGGGTCACAAGAAATAATCCCTGAAAAAGGAAATATAGGGGCTAGAAGAACGGAGATTTTTACTTTTCATTTAAATACCTGTTCTTATTACCTGCAGAATCTTCTAAATATATTATAGGTATAAGAAGTACAAAAACTTTTTGTTCTTAGACTCACATATTAACAAATCAACCTATTTACAAAGTCCTCCATCAACTGAGACCATATTATTTATCTGCTTATATCAATCTCTCCACTCCCCAAGATTTTATTTCTGTTCAATTTAGTGCAGTAAAGATCTTTATGTTTGGAATCATATGACCTGGGTTTAAATTATGTGTAAGCCACTTATTTGTGTGTTGAGACCTACAAACTTATATCCCCATCTGCAAGTGGGAGTAATAATACCTATGTCTTAGGGCTGTTACAAAGATGAAAAAGATCCGGTACACAGTGAGTACTCTCTAAACCTTAGTTCTCTTCTGTCTCTCCTCAGTCCCCTTTAAAAGACATATGCATAAAGGAAAACAGCCCCATACATATCTGGTCTTGCTGTTCCTTTGATTTGAAATGCTCGCCATCTCCTCCCTACCACTCTGGATCTCATCCTCCCTTAAATACAATGTAAGATATAGCCTCCCAGAAAGCTTTCCCAATTAAGCAAGGGCATACTGATATCTACCCTCTGAATAGAACAGCTCTCATGATGAGTACCAGACAATTTACTACTAGATTACATTCTCTTTTATATCATTTTCAGGTTCCATGTAAGTAAGATTCATGTATAGATCTCTTAAAATGACCCTAGTTCCTTTGGGGAAAGAACTTATTTCTATTTTTTTGACATTTAACACAGTACTTAGCACATATTAAACACAGTTATGTTTAATAGATATCTGTTAACCTAACTTAAAAAATTTGTATAAAAATATGTTGGTAAATTAAGTGAAAAGGCTGAAACAGCTTTAAATTTGCATTCGTCTACATTCTGTCAATTACAGAAGCTTACTAAACAAAATTTGATCTAAAAACACAAATTTATTTTATGCTTAAAATAAGTCCAACTGAAGGCTGATATTAAATGTTAGAGACACCCTGACTAGGTGGCTCAATTGGCTGGAGCATCACCCGTACATCAAAAGGTGGCAGTTTGATTCCTGCTCAGGGCACATATCCAGGTTGCAGATTTGCTCCCTGGTAGGGGCATGTATGGGACGCTACTGATTGATGTTTCTCTCTCAAATTGGTTTTAAAAAAGTATTTTAAATGTTAGAGCCACGTTTCAGAAAAGTATAAAGTAATAGGTTTTTATTTTGACTAATAATGTATATTATTTCCAAGAACTTAAGAAAAAGAGCCTTGTATGTGGATTCATTACCTGTCTTTTGCAGAACCCAGCACCTATACCATATCCTTCCAGCTGCAATGCATTTACATTCAAAGAATGTAACTGAGCCAAGGTTTCTACCATGGCCACATACATGGCTGAGCGTTCTGCTGGGCTAACTCCAGGAATTGTGAAATCACGAAAAATTCGACCCTATGGGAGCAATTACAATAGATAATTTAAAACAAAATAAATCTTTTCATGCCAACTCTTTGCAGTGTCACCATCCCCTATTGCCTACAAAACATAGCAGGGTAACAGTTTTGCAATCAAAATCAATTCTTTGTAGAATATGCTAGAAAAACATTCATTTGTGAAACATGTCTAATACAAGAGTATTTTCCAAAGGGAAAATACAAAGATATGCCAAGATGAACTTAAAGGATAAAACGTTATATTTTACAAAAAGAAAATCTTTTAAATAATTTAAATTTATAGTTTTTAATGGATTGATTTTCAATGTGTTTTTTCTCCCTACCATTTGGACCATTTGGTTATTACCATCACACATAGCTCTTTACTGCCACCTAGTGGAAAACATTGTGCTCAAATTAAAATTTTAAGCCCCAGCAAAGCAAACTAATTAACTAAAATGTTGATTAATAAACTATCATTGATTAACATTTAATTTCTTAATTGAAAATAAAAGCATCAACAAAGTAAGATTAAGTGTGAATTTACCTGCACATGTTCCATTATGTAAAATTCTGTTCCAATGACAGAAGCATTGCTGCAGTACAGTAGAGGCTTGGGAACTGGGAATCCAATGGAAAACAAAGCTTTCTGAACTTTAAATTCTCTATCAATCTAAATAGGATGACAGATTACTAAAAATCAGAAACACAGAAATTTAATAACTACTTGTGAGCTAACATTTATGCTAGAATTGATTTTAAAATGACCCAGAGGATAATAATTTCCTTAAATGTAGTCTTACTGCAATTATTATCATTATAAATTAGGCCAGCACTAAAACATGATAATTAGGCTAAATAAGACAGACATATTCATGGGCTTAATCCTGGCTCTGATAATATGAAGGCAACAGATCCTGACCACAATACTTCACAGATATTATCATAAACATCTCTTTATTCTTAGCAGTTCCCTGATCACTGGGTAACTCTGTCTCTCTCCTGTCTCCCAAGGGGGCTCAGGCAAGTATTCTAATGTTCTGGGCATAGTCAGCTACAGGATGCTGGGGGAGGCCAGTGGGTACTGGTAGAAGGAAAATGCAACTGCTCTTTCTGGAGATCAACGGAGGTATTTGTTTCCAAGGCAGGGGATTGGGAATCCTTCCTAGTAACTGAGGCTGCTGTAAAGCTTAAAATAGCTATTGGGAAAGGAGGCAATGAGAAGCAAGCTGGTACTGAATTAAGAGCCCAAATAAGATAGAGAGAAGAGTGGGCCCCAACAACCAGGACAGATGTATGGGCCTATCACTTAGGACCTGAGGACACAGCTTACAGAAGAACTGTGATGCCAATTCATCTGCATGCAAAGTCCCCTTGCCCAGATTCAGGCAGTGATGACTGATCCCTCCTAAGGAGAAGAAGAAATCATGCAGCTCACTTTGAGAGCAGGGATAAAGCAGCTGCTGCTGCGGTAACTAGAACAGGAAAGTGACTAAACCCATGACAGGGTGAGAGAAGCCAGTGGTGCAAATGGCTGTAGAAAGAAGTGTTTATAACCACCCTGCTGCTGGGAAATGGGGGTGGGGTGGAATGGGGTAGGGACAAAGGATTAGGGAGTCACAAAGTGGATGACAGTGTGGGAGCATTGCTTTTTTTCAGTGCAGACTTAAGAAAAATAAAGAGAGTTGAAACAAAGCACACCAGATCCTTGAGCTGAGAATATTATGTTATGTTCTAATGTCTTCTGGTAGGATGTTATCAAAAAGAGAGTCAAGTAGAGCTGTTTATTGGGGCATAAATCTCTGGATAGGTAGGGAGTCTCCTTCAGCCATGCCATGTTAAGGCTTAATAAAAGTTACCCAACTTGCCCTGGTTGAAGTATTATCCTATACACCAAAAGACTGCAGGCTTGTCAATGTGTCGCTCTCATGTCGATGTTTCTCTCTCTCTCTCTTTCTTTCCCTCCCACTCTACCTGAAGATAAATAGAAAAATATCCTTGGGTGAGGATTAAAAAAATTTTTAAATTAAAAAATAAACAAAAGATTGCAAGTTCGATTCTGGTGAGGACATATACCCGGGTTGTGGGTTCAATCCCTGGTCAGGGCACGTGTGGGAGACAACCAATTGATGTTTCTCTCTCACATCAATGTTTCTCTCTCTCTTTCTCAAAATCAATAAAAACATATACTCTGGTGAGGATTAAAAAAAAAAAGTATCCCAACTTTTTTGATCTTAAGCATCCAAGTTAGTACATGTTCTAGGAATATGATATGGGACCAAGAAAGTCAGAATCACAATTTTCCATTACTATGATATTAAGCCCATCCCTCAATAACCTGGGAAGTCAGCTGGGCCTGAGAAACACCTGTTATACATGATTATAATAATACTCTAATTATAAATATTAATGTTCTCCAGGACTTTGATTTCTGTCTCCTGTTTTCTTCTCTAAAAATTCATAGAAGTTTTCTGAAACCAGAAAGACTCAATTAAATCTTTTATAATTCTCACTATTTAGAGAATACTTTATAAAATGATTATTCAGATATTTCTTTTTATCACCAAAAGATCGGGGGATTATTATAGTAAATATTTTAGAATAAGTCAGTAAATAGATATTGTTATAAGATATAATGTGCTTTAAAAACATAATTTAAATATATAACCAAAGTACAAAACATCTATAAATGAGTAGTACTGAAAATATTCACTGGATGACTATATTTCTGGCCAATTGTACAGGAGAGAATGAAATCCACAAGAGGACTGGGTATTGTTCAAGATTAATAGCCTAAAGATAGACTTAATTTCATCCTCAAATCCTTTTTCAAACCAAAAACAGGAAAAATAACTCAAGTGAAAATTGTATCTAAGAAATAAAATGCATTTTCTATTATTTAATAATCATGAGATGACTTTTAAAAGCAATTTAAATTGTTTTTGTGTGTGTAAATGTATTTATTTGTCAACAAAGAATGCATTATTGCATTTGTATACTATACCTTATGTGCTTTGGGAAGAAGTGAACCAGGTGGTTTTTTTCTGAGTACATATCCTTGAAAGCCCTTCTGGAGATAAAAGGTTGGATTGGACTGTCCTAATCTAGATAAAAGAAAAGAAAAAGTCAATTACAAAGATATATTTTCTTTCTTCCCCAAATCCTACTGAGGTTTTAGAAGAAACACAAAATGAAAATACATCCCTTTCAATGTTGAAAAGCCAAAAGTGGTGTTATCAGAAGTTCAGAACATGAGTTTTTGATGATAAAAAGCAGATGGCCACACAGCGGCAGCTGGAGAATCTATAACCCATACAAGTAGAACAGACGACCTTACTCACTGTCTGCAAATCATGAGTTTCATCAGAAGTACCCCTAGAACAATGCCCAGATCTAAGTAAAGAAAGGCTGGGAGAACGACTGTAGGTGATCAGTCAGAAAATTAATTAAAGGATGCTGGAACAACGGGATTAGTGTCCCCTCTTCTGCCATTGGAGACATACCCCCCATATGCATCACCTAGGTTAGCACTCAAGTACAGATCCCTGCAATGGGAATCCTGATAAGCAAGGTACTAGAGTGGATATCTGGACTAGGGAATTGGAACAGTGCTCCAGGTAACTCAGACACCAGGGTGCTGGCTTTCCACACCAGGTGAACAGAAATTCTCACATAGACTAAGGAAACACACACTCCAGCAACCACACAAAAACTATCCAATCTACACCTTCATTTACAATATGAGCAGTTGCAAATTACCCAACTTCTAAAGAATCCAACAGCATGAAAGAGAGAGGCCTTAAAATAAAATAAACAAACAGAAGAATCAATCCTTGAGGTAAATGGTAATAGAGGAAAGTGAAAAAAATATTTTTCTAAGTTTCTCCCTAGGCCTCCAGCCTCTACCTGCAGAATATAAGAAGTCAGAATGAATACAGCAGCCTCTTTCTCTGACAAGCCAGACCCATCTTTCCCAACAGTCATATCAAAGAGCACTGATCTTGGCATCATTTAATCCTGTGTGGGTACCTTTTTTTTTTAAATCCTCACCCAAGGATATTTTTCCATTGATTTTCAGATAGAGTGGGAGGAAGAGAGGGAAGGAGGGAGGGAGGGAGGGAGGGAGGGAGACACATTGATTGGTTGCCTCCTGCAGGACCCCACCAGGGGGGGAGACCAAACTGCAATTGAGGTATGCACCTTTGATGTGAACCGGAGACTCTTTGGTCCATGGGTGGATGCTCTAACTGCTGAGCCAAACCAGCCAGAGCATGTGTGGATGCCTTTCAGCGCAAGAAAGTGCGGATCATTGCCAATGGTCAGGAAATGGGACCACCTCAAGCTATGTTGTTTATCTTGACATGCGACAATTTATCCATGATACTACAAAGAATCAAGTTGTAATGAACCTTATAAAAACATTTTTAATGCCAAACATCTGACTGAATGCATTTTTAATGCAGTCATTTACAAAGCACTGGCCTTTCATGATGGCAAATGACCCACGTGAAATATAAAGGGAAAACTGTTTCCCATGGAAGTTACCATATGAATTACCATGTGACAGAGCAATTCTACTCTTAGGTATACAAGTGCGGGCAAAAGTAGGTTTATGGTTGTTCATATGGAAAAACATATAATATAAAAATAAATAATAAAACCAGAATAAACTCTGTTTTGTGTACTTGTAACTGTAAACCTACTTTTGCACACTTTTGTATCTCAAAAAAGAAATGAAAACATGTTCACACAAAAATTTGTACAAGAATGTTTATAGCAGCGCTATTCACAATAGCCCAAAAGTGTAAGTAACTGAAATGTCCATCAACAAATGAATGGATAAACAAAATGTGGTATAGCCATACAATGGAATATTACTCAATCATGAATGGACTTCAAAAACATTAAGTGAAAAAAAGCCACTCACAAAAGGCCACAAATATATATTTTTTAATCCTCATCTGAGGACATTTTTGCATTTATCTTCAGATAGAGTGGGAGGGAGACAGGGGGGGAAGAGAGAGAGAAACGTCGACATGAGACACATCGACTGGCTGCCACCCACATGACCTCAACTGGGGCAGGGACAAACTGCAACCAAGGTATGTGCCCTTAGTGGGAACCGAACCTGGGACTCTGGTCCACAGGCCAAGGTTCCAACCGCTGAGCCAAACCAGCCAGGGCAGGCCACATATTATATAATTTCAGTTTTATGCTATGTAAATCCATAGTGACAGAAAGTAGATTAGTGGCTGCTAGTGGATGGGAATTGGAAGGTAAGTGTTTTTTTTGGGGGGCAATCGAAATGTTCTGGAATATATACATAGTGGTGATGGTCACACAACTTTGTGAATATACTACAAAAACCCACTAACTTATATACTTAAATAGTTAAAATTTTGAATTTTTATCTAAAAAAAAAAAGAAGAAGAAAAACCCACCTTGGGAAAATCATCACCAACACTGTGAACATTGTACCAGCTAAATTTAACCACTCCACACATCAGGCCTCCATAAAGTCTGGAACCCACTGATGATATCAATATGATAAGAATCAATGAACCAATGGTCACAACTATTGTTTAGGATTTGGACAAGGCATTTATTGCTGAAAGAAGTGTGTTAATCTATAACCAAAAAGGTGGCACTTTGGATTTGTCTAACTTTAAAATGAAATCTTTGCATTTAAGTGTACAGTTAGGAACACTCACTTGTTTGAAGAAGATTCTGACTAGACAGTTAATCTCACAAGGTCCTACCAGGCCACTCTCAGCACTGGCTCATGTAGAAGCATACAAAGATGAAAAATATAGTATGCCAGCAGGGCAGCACCAGATAAATTTCTTCACCAGAGTCCTTAGTAATCCATGCAGCAGACTAGGATTTACTCTATGACCCCTCTGTCCCTTTGGTGACAGCTCAGGTTCCAAGAAATAAGACCACAATGGATGAGTATGGGTGTCACTCAGTTTTAGAAGCCTCATGCTCCAAAAGAGCCATTATTTCTAATAGCCGTCTTCTGGGAACAGCTTCTAGGGTCCTAGCAAGAAACATGCCCAGTTGTGAGACCTCAGTGCATTTAGGGAAGCCCAAAGCATCCCACCAGATATTTGCATTCATTCACAGGCCTTCTGGTTCAGATGCAGTTGATCAATTAGATATTATTTTTACAAATAACATTGCCTGGAAATACAGCTGACATGCCATCTTTACCAAGTTTCCAGAATAACAGAGCTAGAAAGCTCACTTAATTTGTCTGTAGGGAAGGAGAAAAGACTTTCTAACGCCTTCCTCACACTATGGTAGACAAGTCTCAGACCTATGACATCATCCTAATGGGCAGCATCTCCAAGCTTCAGAAACTTAGAAATTCCTACAGAATTTTTTTCAACAGTAAGAAACTGAAAAAATCATTAATCCTGATAAGAGTGTTACTTATGTCTGCAGCTCTGTAGGCAGCTATTTTGTCCCTTGTGCAGAAATAATTGGAAAATATTCAAGATTTGCTGCTCTTTGATATAATACCTTTTCCTTTAGTACTGAAACCACTGGTGGAGTCATGACTATTCTGATCAAGTGTAGTACAACCATTCATAACAAGATGACTTAGACTTTCACCATCTGTTCTGATGATCAACTTCACATGCTCATTCAGGCTTATGAAATTGAGTGAGCATTGATGAATGATAACCAGCATGGCAAATTTGAACTCACAGACATCCCTCCTGCACCCTATGGATTGCATAAATTGAAGTAACTTTTGATATTGATGTCAAAAGCATCTCAAATGTATTTGCTGTAGATAAGAGATCAAGAAAAGAGATTACAACACTAATGTCATAGTGTTTGAACATGGAAAACACTGAGTATATAGTCCAAGAGGCTTAAATGTAAAAAAGCTGGAGATGAGAAGCAGACAGGCAAAATAGCCCCAAAAAACTTGCTCTGATCTTATATTCAACAATAAAGCCACAGTGGAAGATGAGACACATCAAAGCAGAATCAAAGATTCAAAGATGAAGTCAAACAGAAGATTCTTAACAAGTGCAATGGAATCAATGGCTGGTCAAGAATCAAATTACTAAAAAGAAAGACTTTAATATTAGCAGAAAGAGCTGGGGAGGGTTTAAAACCCCATCACTATCACAGTGCTGGGTGCTTTGCTGGGGGATCCCTGGGAATAGTGACTTCAGCTCTCCCCTTCCTCCACCATGTCCTTCCTTATTAAGCTTAAATGCAATGGTCAATTATATAACCACTCCCTTGAATACATCTTTAATACACTTGCCCTTTCTCACTTCATGTTATTTGCTTGGCTTCCCCATACTGGTTAAATCCAACTCTGCCTACATTTATATAACTGAATGTAGCTGGAGAAAGAAACATACAACCATGGTTATTGTTTTAGGTTAGGTAGCCTAGAAGCAGATCCTGAGAGAATGATTTGTGTGCAAATGACTTATTAAGGAAACACTTGGGAAACCAATAAGGAATCAAGAGAAGTAGGTCAGGGAAGGGGAGAATGCCAAGCAAGAGTACCATGTAAGACAAAGTCCCTTAAGGGGCATTTTCAGCCTGATTTCATGGTGGGGAGGGGACTCTGCAGTGTAAGTTACATCTGAGAATTGTCTTACTTCCAAAGAATGATGATGATTTCATACTCTTGAACCCAAAAGTCACTGGTTAAGGGCCATCCTGGGCACTGCAACATTCAGGGCAAAGGAGCCTCCAGTAGGCCAAGGGCAGTACACACACATACACACACATACAAAAGCCACAGGGGCTGGTTACTGGAAGCCAAAGTCATCAAACCAGCCCTGGCCGGTTTGGCTCAACGGTTAGAGCGTCGGCCTGCGGTCTAGAGAGACCCAGGTTCGGTTCCTGCTAAGGGCACGTACCTCGATTGCAGCTGCAGTTTGTCCCCGGCCCTGGTTGGTCGTGCGGGTGGCAGCCACTCGATGTGTCCCTTTCACGTCGATGTTTCTCTCTCTCTCTCTTTTCCTCTCTCTCCCTTCCACTCTATCTGAACAATAAAATGGAAAAATGTCCTCGGGTGAGGATTAAAAAAAAAAAGTCATCAAATCAGTATGTACACTGAAACAGTAAAAAGGGATCCAAAAGAATCTGGGCAAAGTATCAATAATATCTACTAAAATCAATATTCTTGCTTCCAAGTCATGACCATGAACCTCAAAGTAAACACTCCCGGGCAACCATATTTCCTTAGCCTGTTTATTCTCCCATGCTCTTGTATGACTATTTCACAGTTTTTCCTCTTCAAACCTTTAACACCTTTTCCTCCATCCTCACTCTCAGGTGATTCTAGCTCCCTATTTCTTTTTTTTAAATCAATTTTTTAAAATATATTTTTTCTTTATTGATTTTATAGATAGAGGAAGGGAGAGGGAGATATATAGAAAAATCAATGAGAGAGAACACTGACTGACCGCCTCCTGCATGCCCCCCACTGGGGATTTGGTCCACAACCTGGGCATGTGCTCTGACTGGGTATCGAACTGGCGACCTTTTGTGCATGGGTCAATGCTCAACCAGTGAGCCAAACTGGCCAGGCTCTAGCTTCCTATTTCACTGAGAGAATAGAAACAATCTGATGATAACTTTCATACACTTACACTACCATATCTGCTGTACACAAGCATCTGTAGCCATATAGTTTGTCTCCCCTGCAGAGTCTAGAAGAAGGTTCACACTCCTATCTAATTCTCTTGTGAATTAGATCCCAGCCCACTCTTTCCTACTCAAGGACTTCATTCCAGCCTCTCTCCTGCACAATTTTTCCTCTCTCTTCTGGATCACTAGCATCAGTATGCAAACATGCTGCTATTTTCTTTTTTTTTTAATTCCTCACCTGAGGATATTTTTCTATTTATCATTAGCTAGAGTGGGTGGGAGGGAGGGAGAGAGAGACAGAGAGAAACACTGATGTGATAGAACCACATCTACTGGTTGCCTCCTCGTGACCAGACCAGGGCCGGGGATGAACTGCAACGGAGGTATGTGCCCTTGACCAGAATCAAACCTGCAACTCATTGGTCCACGGGCCAATGCTCTAACCACGGAGCCAAACCGGCCAGGGCCCATACTGCTATTTTCTAAAGATTTGTCTTGACCCCAATTCTCCTTCTACTTAAAACATTTTATTCCCTTTTGTGGAAAAACTTGAGAGTTGTTTACGCTCGCTGCTCCAGTTCCTCTCCTATTTTCTATTAAACCCATTTCAATCACACTTTCATTCGTATCTTTCCACCAAGACTACTTTTTCAAGGTCACTATTACTGTTACAGTATTACACCATGATTTTCCCATTTCCAGCTACTCCTTCGTACACTCCTTTGCAGCTTCCTCACTGATTCTACAACTTCTTAATACTGAGGTTCCTGGTACTAAGTTTCTAGACCTCTTTCTTTGTGTAGACTCATTATGATCTGATGGCTTGAAATACTGTCTCTAGTCCAACTGGTGTGGCTCAGTGGATTGACCACTGTCCCATGGACTGAGAGGTCCTGGTTTGATTCCCAGTCATATGTGTGGATGTGGGCTCGATCCCCAGTAGGGGGCATGCAGGAGGCTGCTGATCAATGTTTCTCTCTCACATGGATGTTTCTCTCTCTCTCCAAAAAATCAATACAAACATATTAAAAATAAATAAATAAATAAATAAATACTCTCTATGTCAATGAATCCTCATATCTAGTCCAGACCTCTGCCCTGATCTCCAGATCTGTTTACTGTACAAATCTATTTGGATGTCTAAAAGGCATCTTGAAACTTAACATTCCAAAACTGAGTTGTGATATTTCCCCTCAAATCTGTTTCTCTATACTCACATCTATTTTATTTTATGGTAATTGCATCCTTCCAGTTACAAAGAAAAAGATGGAATACTATCTGTCTCTACTCCTCTTTTTCTTTCATCGCCCCCCACCCCCATCTGGTTGGTCAGTAAATCCTTCCAAAAAAATCCAAACTATGACCACTTTGCATCTATTCTACACTACCATCCTGGTCCATACCACTAATATTTCCCTACTGGATCACTGCTATCTACTCCAAACTAGTCTCCTTGACTTTGCCCCTTTCAATCAAATAAATTCCATTTATGAAGCACAATCCTGGTTTATTTAACATTCAACCTAATTCAGAATTAAGTATCTTCCAGTTAGATAATTCTCTAGGAGATTAATATTACTCTCTCCATTTTGCCAAAGGAAGGCTCTGTGCTCAAAAGGGTTAAATAACTGCCCAGATTCCCACAGCAAGTGGAATAGTTGAAATTTGAACTCTGATCTGTTTTAGTTTGTTACAACACAAAACTTCTAGGTTAGAAACCTCAGCTATTTTTTTTTTTTTTTTTTTAATTCTGCCTCTCCTTCATCCTCCATTATCTAATGGGACCAGGTACCTTTTAATTCTATACCTCAAACCTCTCTTTGATCCAACTCCTTTTGCCACTGTTTTTATTTTCACTGAACTCAGGAATATAAATGTCAGTGGTATATGGTTCTGTTCCAATGTTTGCTCTTTCACTTATATAGTACCTCATTATCAGGATTACCCGGAACTAAAGGGTGTTATTACAGATTACGATACTAAGAGTTTATGTAACATATTTAAATTCCCAGTCGGTAAGTGGCAGATCTAATTTTCTGGAAGCCACGTTTCTCTATCTCTTTTTATTTATTTATTTAAAAAAAAAAACTATATTTAGAAGAAATTTATTTTAAAATTTATTTTCTATTATAAAACATCAGCGCGGGGCCAGATCCAAGGTGGGGAGCAGTCCTCTCAGGATCATCTTTCGGTTTCATTCCCTCACTTCAAATAAAATAAAGCCCAGGGAATCCCCGAGGTCCATAATTGTATCCTTTAACAAAGATTCCTTCTCATAGTTGGAATCGTGACTAGGATCCCTTTCATTATTGCCCACGAATTGTAGATACCCCGAATGTAATACAAGGGACGGTGATACCGGCTCCTGCCTGCATAGTTCGTCATTCCAGGTAAAGAAACTGGGGTGGGGGGAACCGGGAATCCACTCGGGGCCAAAGGAAGAAAAGCAAGATGCTCAGATTTGTTTCTGCTGGAAGAGAATGTGACGTCGGTACCTGTACTGGGCAACGGTCAGCTTGGCTCCGGGATCGGCCCCAAAGCCTGGCAAGTGCTGGTTGAGATAAGCCTCCAGGGATCTGTAGTCGAACTGGTGCTGGGGCAGCACCTCGGCCGCTTCCTGCTCGTCGGGGGCTTTGGTCTCCATGACGGCCGCTGCGGGTTGCAGAGTCGCGGAACCTACAGATACTTGGGCTACTTTTTAGCCAGTGGGCGAGGCCTAAGGGGCCCAAGTCCAAGCGGGCTCCGCCAATCACACACGCGTTAGCACCGTTGCTGAGCAACATTGGCCGGCCGAATCCTGGGAACAGGGCGGAAGACCCCGTGTGTGAGGATCTTAAGAATTGGAATTGGAGACCTTTATTTTTTTTTTATCCTCACCGAGGATATTTTTCCATTTTTTGTACAGATAGAGTGGGAGGGAGAGAGAGGAAGGGAGAGAGAGAGAGAAACATCAACGTGAAGGGACACATCGAGTGGCTGCCACCCGCACGACCGACCAGGGCCTGGGTCAAACTGCAACAGAGGTACATGCCCTTAGCGGGAACCGAACCGGGTCTCTCCGGACCGTAGGCCGATGCTCTAACCGCTGAGCCAAACTGGCCAGGGCCAGACCTCGGTTTTAAAGACAACAAAGCCGTTAGCTGCTACCGGCAAATAAGAACGCAGAGGCCTGGGCCTCCTCTAAATGCGTTGCCCCATTAGGCGGAAGACCTGTAGGTCCGGCTCAGAAGAGGGCCCGGCCGGACCGCGAGTGCAGAAATTAAAGGTCCCGGGCTTCCTCCTGGCCGCCCAAGTGAAAAGGCAACACCCCGGCGGCTCGCCCTGGCCACGCAGGCCCCTGGCTCTGCTGCGCGCGGTCTCTTGGGACTCGGCGAAGAAGGAAGCTAGAAGGGGTGGGCTTTTTTGTTTTTCCCCGGAGGGGAGCGATGACTGCAACCGGAAGCGGTACCGCGCGGGGCCGGCGGGAGTGGCGGAGACGTGTCCTTCTCTGAGGCGCCGGGAGCACGTCCCCAGGGTTCTGGGCGAGGAAGGCCGCCAGCTGCCACCGTATATACTCCCGCCGGGCCCAGCAGCCCTGTCATCGTGGGGCGGCGGCGGCGGCGGCGGCCGGGGCTGGGAGCTTTGGCGGCCGGAGTCCCAGCCATGGCCGAGTCTGTGGAGCGGCTGCAGCGGCGGGTTGAGGAGCTGGAGCGCGAACTGGCCCAGGAAAGAAGTCAGCGGGCCCTGGGGGGCGGCGACGGAGGGGGCGGCCGGGCCCGCATCGAGAAGATGAGCCCGGAGGTGGTGGACTCCAACCCCTACAGGTGACCGCGGGTCGGAGGCGGGCGAGGGGCGAGGTCGCCGTCCCCGTGTGGCCAGCAGTGAGGGCTCCCACCTCCCTTTCCTTGTTCTGGGGTGCAGCTCCCAAACCGGCCAGGCCAGACCTTAGTTCTGGTCAGAAGTCCTTTCTCTTACACACGCACACACGGCCGGGGAATCAGCCATATGGTATTGCTCCCGTGCTTGCCCCCCCCCCCCATTCTATTAGTCCGCCTCCTAAAACTGATAGTAACAATATATCCCCTTAGCCCTTTTTTGTTATGGACATAGACAACAATGCTGGGGCGGGGGGCGGGATCGGGAGGAGGGCGTCAATGGGGGAAAAAGAAACATCTGTAACAAAAATAAATTAATAAAAATTGCAAAAAACTGATAGTAACAACTCTCAGACGATAAGATCAAATGTAAAACCCGCTATACATAAACTTCCAGTCTCACCAAGGCTTCTCCATGGGGGGCAAATCACAGCAGCTAAGCCTCAATTTTAAGGGGGGTGGGGTGGGAGAGCTTGATTAGCTCTAAAGCCATTGGATTTTACCAGTTCTGCCCCTCTTTCTTCGTTTCCTAAGGCTTGTTAGTTCAGCTGGCTGGATATACAACAGTGGTTAAGGGTAAGGACTCTAGAGTCAGACTAACTGGTTTCAAATCCCAACTCTTAGTAGCTGAGTAACCTTGGGCCAGTTATGAATCTGTCCACTTCAATTTCTCACTTGTAGCATGGGGGTAATAGTAGTATCTATTTCTGTCTGAATTGTGAGTAGTGGGAAAGTCAGTATATGTAAAAGTCCTAGCTTGTACATCTAAGCTTTGTACAAGACTTTATTGCTGAGTGCATACACTAACATAACGGAGTGTTCACTATCTGCTAAGCACTTCTCATGCGTGTTCCTCCTAACCACAACCCTAGGAAATGGCTCCTATTATTTTACCCCCATTTTATAGGTGAGAAAATTGAGGCTTAGACAGCTGCTGTGATTTTCCTCCGATCATGGAGCTAGTAGTACATAATAAGGCTGGAAAGGCATTAGGTTTGTTTTACTCCTAATGGAATTGTCTCCTCATTTAGCTAATCTTGGGCAAGTTAATTAACTTGCATCTTTTTCCTCATTTGTGAAAGGGGGGTTGCAGTACTTTCTTCTCAGGGTTATTTATGAAGATTAAAGAGAGCATCAAGGTAAAGATGGCAGATTGATTACAGGCATTTATTATAGCTGTCTACCCAATCCCACCAAAATGACTGTAAAGGAATTTAAAAAATAAAGAAGAATAACCCCCATTGAAAAATAGAGGGTTTATATTAATAATTGGGATAGGTGTCTGTACTTAAAGATTATAGTAAAAAAATTTTAGAAACTAGAAAAGTGATGGGTGACTTAATATCTGATTTGATGGATCCAAAGACGCTGACTCTTAAGCCTGCAATCCAGTTTATACCACAATTTCCCAAAGGCTCAGGATTAGGCACTTCTAGCCTTATGCTAGGGCTAAAAAAGATATGGTTGAAAATATGTTGAAGAAACAGAGCCCAGGTTTCTTACTCTGCTTTTTGTAGCTGAGCGAATGCTAAGGTCTCTTCCTACCAAAAGAGAAGAATAGAGATTCACTCATTGGAGAGAGTGAAATGGAGGATTCCTATGAATTGAAACAGGTTTTTGTTTACATACTGAATGCTGGAACTCCCAGCCTTGCTCTTCTACTTAACAACCCCAAACTGACAGTCATAAGCACCTTTCAGGCTGGAAATTGAAAGATTTTTCTCTAGGGAAGCTGGTAGAGCCAAGAAGAAACCTTGAAAGACGGTGACATTCTGGGTTTCAACTAAATAGACCAGCCAGAGCACCCTACGGTGAAGCCCACAGTCAAATAAGCATTGCCCACATCTTTGTCTTTACTAGTGTCTGGTTCTTAAATATATGAGCAGAACAAAGGATGAGAGAAGCTCCAACATGAAAATAAAACAAAATAAAAATACTAACTTGAATAGATTATGTAAGGGGAACACATCCCCTTATCATTATCCTCAGGTGAGAGATGGTATTTTATAAATGAAACGAGGTGCTACCAAAAAAAAAAAAGATAGAAAGAAAATCATTCAGATAATTAAAAAGAATTCTTGAAAATATACAAAATTGAAAATTTCAATAGAAAAGTTATAAAATAAAGTTGAAAAAAAAATCCAGAGAATAGAGCAGAAAACTAAAATGATTGGAAAATAGAAAAGAAATGAGTACAAGAACAGTCCAAGTAGTCCAACTTCCAAATAACAGGAATTCTGGAAAGATAATCCAGGAAAAACAAAGCAAACAAACAAGGAAATAGTCATATTCTTCAAGGAAATTTCCCAGAACTGAAAAATGTGTGTCTGATTTGCTAGTGCCTACTAAGTACACAGCACAATGGATGAAAATAGATTCACACTAAGGCACATCATAAAATTCCAGAAGCTAGAAGACACTGGAGTTGTATCTTAGAAATTGTAAGGGAAAATTATTTACAGTTTTTAAAATCTTGTTGCATGGTCTGGGAGGGTATTCAGGCTTTAGTTTTTTAAAGCTGCCCCAGTGATTTAGTTTCATCTAGTAAAACCCAGCTAAAAGATTTATCCTCTTTTAAAGGATTAGTAACGGTTGACTTTTGGTGTCAATTTTCTGTGATGTATGTTTACCTATGTCACTAAGATGGTAACCTTTAAAATATTTTTTTTTCTTTGTTTTAAGCCGCCTGATGGCATTAAAACGAATGGGAATTGTAAGCGACTATGAGGTATGATAAACCTTTCCAAGTTTTTGAAGATGATTTCAATAAATGAAAATAATTTTTGATGAAGACTTATTAATCCAGACATATATAATTTTGTATTTTACAGAAAATCCGTACCTTTGCTGTAGCAATAGTAGGTGTTGGTGGAGTTGGTAGTGTGACTGCTGAAATGCTGACAAGATGTGGCATTGGTAAGGTAAAAGCATTTCTCTTTGCCTGTTTGTAGAGAACTGTTTACTTCTGGAGTAAATCAGGTACAAATTAGGACCCCCCCCCATTACTAATGGTTTATTGATTTGTGGTGTATTTATTCAAATTGTTTTTTTCTACCCAAGGGTGTTAAACATAACCCCACCAAAATGGAGGCTGATATTATTGCTAATTAAATGAGGACTACCTAATTTAGTTCAGGAACTTTTTGTTTAGGGTAATATATAAACAATTTGAACTTACGTGTTTGAAATTGAACTGGAGAATGCTCCAGATATTTTTTAACCCACATATATATGGTTTTATTTTTTTCTAAAATTGGTTTAGATTGTGAATAGGAAGGAGAAGTAACCATATAGTAAGTATCATTCTAGCATTCTTAGACTTATAAAGCTTGAGTCCATGATGTTAGATATATAGTGGTTGAATACATAAGCTTTCCACAAATGTATACCCTTTAAATTGTCATTTTGATAAAGCATGCATTTGCCCCTAAAGCTTATCACAGTTTTTAAAAAAAAAATTTTTTAATCCTTACCCAAGGACATTTTTCCATTTTTTGTTCAGATAGAGTGGGAGGGAGAGAAAGGGAGAGAGAGAGAGAGAGAAACATCAACGTGAAAGAGACACACCGAGTGGCTGCCACCCGCATGACCAACCAGGGCCAGGGACTAACTGCAACCGAGGTATGTGCCCTTAGCGGGAACCGAACCCGGGTCTCTCTGGACCGCAGGCCGACGTTCTAACCGCTGAGCGAAACCGGCCAGGGCATTATTTTTTAATGTTGGTTTTTTAATGTTGGTTCACTCCATGTGCTAAATTTTTAAAGAAAGTGATTTCAAAGTTGGCACTCATTTATCAGTGTAGAAAAGACAACATCAAAATACTAAAAATGGCCCTGGCCAGTTTGGCTCAGCGGTTAGAGCGTCGGCCTGCGGTCCGGAGAGACCCGGGTTCGGTTCCCGCTAAGGGCACGTACCTCGGTTGCAGTTTGTCCCCGGCCCTGGTTGGTCGTGCGGGTGGCAGCCACTCGATGTGTCCCTTCACGTCGATGTTTCTCTCTCTCTCCCCCTTCCCCTCTCTCCCTCCCACTCTATCTGTACAAAAAATGGAAAAATATCCTTGGGTGAGGATTAAAAAAAAAAAAAAATACTAAAAATGTTTATTAACATTTTGAAGTCTTTGAAGAGGCTTACAAAAGCCAGCTAATAGTTGCTTATAGCTGATCTAAGTACCCTGGCTGACCAAGAATAGTCCAGATCATGGAGATCCATGGATTTCATGGTTGAGTATGCATTAGGATCCCTTGGAAGACTTATTAAACCACAGATTACCAGACTCTATTTCAGTGGTTTTGATCCTGTAGGTTTTAGGTGGACCTAAGAATTTTAATTTCTAACAAATTTCCAGGTGATTCTGATGTTATTCCAGGGACGGCACTTTAAGAACTTCTGGATCTTTGCTGTTCAAAGTCCGGTACCTGAAGTAGTAATAGCATCAGCATCACCTAGGAACTTGTTAGAAATAAAGACTCTCAGGCCCTACGCCAGACATGCTGAATCAGAATCTGTATTTTAACAAGATGACAGATGATTAATATATATATCAAAGTTAGGGAAATGCCCCTGTATTTCTAACAAGCTCCAGGTGATGCTGATGTTGCTTGCCCAGGCCACATTTTGTGTGGCAAGGATGTAGACCAATACTGCTGTAGTTAGAATTACCTGGGAAGTTTAAAAACATTCTGATGTCCAGACTGCACCCATAATGAGTTAATCAAAATCTCTGGGAATGGGACTCAGACGTGTATTTTTCGAAAACTACCCAAGTGATTCCAATGTGTACTCAAGGTTGTATGCTAAGAATCTACATAAGTAAGTTTCAGAACTCTTTATCCAATGTGTAAAACATAAACAAGAAGCTAATTCATGGGGTTAAGTGGGGAAGTGGAGGACAGGAGACCCAGAGCCCACCTCTTATCCCTGAAAGTTATGGAATCCTCAGCGCACCTTGGATTACCAGATCCAGATCAGCTGCTTTATTTTACAGATGAGGATACAGGCCTAAAGAGTGAAAGTGACTTACCCATGATCAGAGCTAATTTTAGCAAAGTTACAACTCATACCTCTTGTCCCCAAATTTGGAATTTTCTACAACTTACTCATAAACCAGTGATGAGGCCAAAACTCAAACTTGATGGTGGGCCTGATCTAATAAATATAGTTGAATAAACTTAAATAAATCATATTTTGGAGACTCTAGGGTTAGAAAATTATCATGGTATCTTTTGTAGCAAAATTTTAAGGTTTACCTATGTGTTGTTTTTATGGATTGGGTTAATTTTTTTTTTTTTTGTTTCCATATTGAGAAAAAAAATCCCATTTTTGTATTTATTGCTAAATTTAGGATGTTGAGAACTGGATTACAAAGTCACAGAATTTTAGATCAAGGAAGGGCTCTTGGAAATCGTTTGGTCCAACCTGTTCTTATTGATAAGATATGGGATCTTTTGGACATTTTAAAGGTTTTGTGTGTGTGTATAACACTGTTGTGCCTAACTATATAGCAGGAAACAATAATTAAGTGATTGGTTGGTAACTCTATTTGGAATAATGCTTTAGCATTGCATGGGTGTATATATGGTGTCATAGGCACAAAAGGAGTCATACTATACTATAGTTTTAAGTTATGACATTTGTTTTATTTTATTGGAAAATTTTATTTATCCAATGGGTTCTTGGCTTTTAGCAAAAAATAGCAATGGAATGGAATAAACATTAATTTCTTAGCAAATCATTTAGAGAAGTAGTACAGCATTGTGCTTAGAGTGCAGATGCTGGATTGAGACTGTCTGAATTTGAATCCCTTTTCCACTACAAATTAGCTGAGTGGCTTTTGAGCAAATGCCCTAGTTATCTCATTTCTAAAATGAGGTTAATGGTATTTATGTACTTACCTCATATGAGCGTTAAATGAATTAATATATGGCAGTTAGTGTTTCAGAGTTTTATTATTGTCAAATGGTTAAACCCATAAAATGTAAGGCCTACTAGTTCATTCTTTGTTATGTTTTTCATCAGAATATCACTATTTTCATTTTAGTTGCTGCTCTTTGATTATGACAAGGTGGAGCTAGCCAATATGAATAGACTTTTCTTCCAACCTCATCAAGCAGGATTAAGTAAAGTACAAGCAGCAGAACATACTTTGAAGTAAGTAGAATAGCAATTAAAGACCATATTTAGTGAAATCTTTGTGTATTTGGTATTTGTTAACCTAATATATAAATGGACCTGAATTTTTTCTCTATAAAAATGCAGGTTTCACTTATACAAATTCTGTTACCTATTGGATCTGGGTTGGCAACCTTTTCCTATATAGCGCTTGAGAGTAAATATTTTAGGCTTTGAGGACCATATGGTCTCTGTCGAAACAGCTCAGCTCTGCAGTTATAGTGTGATGGCATCTGTAGGCAATATAAAAAATGAATGGTCATGGCTCTACTCCAATAAAACTTTACTGATGAACTCTGAAATTAAAATTTTATATATTATTTTTTTTTCTTTTTTTTTTTTTATCCTCACCCGAGAACACTTTTCCATTTTTTGCTCAGATAAAGTGGGAGGGAGGGAGGGAGAGAGAGAGAGAGAGAGAAACATCAATGTGAAAGAGACACATCGAGTGGCTGCCACCTGTACGACCAACCAGGGCCGGGGACAAACTGCAACCAAGGTACGTGCCCCCAGCGGGAACTGAACTTGGGTCTCTCTGGACCGCAGGTCGACGCTCTAACCGCTGAGCCAAACCGGCCAGGGCTATTTTTTTTACATGTCAGGAAATAATTGTTCTTTTGACTTTTTCCTGCAGGTATTTAAAAATGTAAAAGCCATTATTAGCTTGCAGACTTTACAAAAACAGGTGGCAGGTCAATTTTGGTCTAAAGACTGTAGGTGGCCAACCCTTACTCCAGAAAGTTTCTCTGTGAGCCCAAACATACTTGCACTGAATTGAATAAGGAACAAGGAAGCTCCTTTGTCAGGCTGAGATGTAGCTAACTGAGGTGATGCAGCTTAATTTCCAACACATAGATTGTGGGAACATTTTTGTAAGTCTTCTGATAATCTACACATTATGAACCTAGTCCTTGAAGTGGGATAAAAGAGGTAGAAGAAGATAGTATTTTCTTTGAATGGCTTGAATTCCATTTTTCTGATCTCTGTTAAATGATCTTTAGTTATTTTACTGGCTTTTTCTTACTTTTCCTACCAGTAGTTTTTATAATCATTCCTTTTTTCCCTCTTAGGAACATTAATCCTGATGTTCTTTTTGAAGTACACAACTATAATATAACCACAGTAGAAAATTTTCAACATTTTATGGATAGAATAAGGTAAAATTTTATTTATGAATATTTGCACAATGTCCAGCTCAGTAAAATTTTATTTATGAATATTTGCACAATGTCCAGCTCAGTAAAATTTTATTTATGAATGAATATTTGCACAATGTCCAGCTCTAAACAAGTATTAGAAAATGTGCTGATGATTAATTCAGTGAGTTGGTAGAATAAAATATATTTCTGTTTTTATTTATTTATTTATTTTCTTTATTGACTTTTAGAGAGAGGAAAGGAGAGGAGGGAGAGAGAGATAGAAACATCAATGAAAGAGAACATCGATTGACCGCCCTTACATGCACCCCTCTGGGGATTGGGCCCACAACCTGGGCATGTGGCCTGATGGGAAATCAAACTGGTGCCCTCTTGATACATGGGTTGACACTCAACCACTGAACCACACCAGCCGGGCTATATAGTTCTGTTTTCAAAATAGTTAATTTTTGTGTTATTTTTGTATACTGGGAACTCATTAAAAGTATATATTGTCCAAAATACAATGGAAACAACAAACAAAAAACCCCTATTATTATAGTAGTATAACAAGGAATCCTCAATTTTACATTCTGTTCGAGAAAATATTTCTGTCTCAAAGTGGTTTTCTGCCGCAGCTCTTGTAACACCACTGAAATAATGAATTGTTTTCAGGTAACTTTTTATTGCATTTGAATAAAAGTCTGAAAGCTGATAGGTAAATGGTAACTTTTATAAACAGACTTTATAGTTGTATCCTTGTATGTTTTGTCTAAGAAGTACTGTAGCATCATTGATGTTACATTCTTATGTTACTCAATACTCTATATATACTGGATCTTTAATATTGCTTACTTACTATATCATAATTAAACATTTACTGAAACAGTAAATGTGTGCCTGAATAAATAAAGTCTAATTAGAATGTAATTTGTGTCCTGATTTTTTCAAATAAAATTTATTTTCTTTGCCCAGTAATGGTGGATTAGAAGAGGGTAAGCCTGTTGACCTAGTTCTTAGCTGTGTGGACAATTTTGAAGCTCGAATGGCAATAAATACAGTGAGTATTTCTACTGTGGAAAATGTTATACTCATGGATTTATCTCTTATCCTGTTTATTCTGTCAGTATATATTCCCCATCCTAAAAGTAGTTCTGCATCTAAACTCTTTCATAATGTGTTTTATTTATTTTTAATGTTCCCTTAGCCTACTTTTGAAATGTATTCTAATGGCTTTGGGACCTGTCTAGCCTTGCTATTGTGGCATGTTTCAATACCCTACTCTCTCCCTTACCAGTAGAGGAAACTATAGGAGATACTTGTGATGTACAATTTTTAAAAATAAATCGATGTCTTACAATACTTTTATTCTTGGTCTCCTTTGGTTTTAACTTTTATTACTTTATTTTACAGTAAATGTATAAATATACATAAATTGCCTTTAAATGTGGTTTCACAAAAATAAAACTGAATTATTTTTCTTTTAAATTATTGTGTTTTCAGCTTTTCAAATGACATTTTGCATTTTTATTGCTGAAATAATTTTAGAAAAATGAAATTTTACATTAGTAAGTTCAATAAACTATGCTTCAGTTTAATTAAATAGATATTTATTGACTGCTTACCTGTCAGTTTATTTTATTTTTTTAATCCTCACCTGAGGACATTTTTGCATTTATCTTCAGATAGAGCGGGAGGGAGAGAGGGAGGAAGAGAGAGAGAGAGAGACACATCGAGTGGGTGCTACCCACACGACCCCAACCAGGGCCAGGGACAAACTGCAACTGAGGTATGTGCCCTTAGTGGGAACCGGACTCAGGTCTCTCTGGTCTGCAGGCCGACGCTCTAACCGCTGAGCCAAACCGGCCAGGGCAATTTTAAACAGAGGATGGCAATTGCCAAGGAATTCCATTATTTACAACTTTTCTCTTTCATTCTGAAAGAGAATTTTAAAAAATGCATGATAATCCACTTGGTTAAACCCCAGTTTTTCATGAAAAGAACTTGTGGTAAATTACTTTTTACTCTTTTATGTTCTTTCTTTTACTTTTACCTATTTCTACAAAGGCTTGTAATGAACTTGGACAAACTTGGATGGAATCTGGGGTCAGTGAAAATGCAGTGTCGGGGCACATACAGCTCATAATTCCTGGAGAATCGGCTTGTTTTGCGGTATGCATAATTAATTTGTTAAGTATAAGAGTTTTTCCACTGTTAAGTATGAGTTCCTAGGGGCATTGAAAATGTATTACAGTTCAAAGGGAAAACAAACTTTGAATATGATGGACTACTATTTGGGACATATACTTTTTTCCTTTCTTTGAAATAGATTTTCTTTTCTTCTTTTTCCTGTAGTGTGCCCCACCACTTGTAGTTGCTGCAAATATTGATGAAAAAACTCTGAAACGAGAAGGGGTTTGTGCAGCCAGTCTTCCTACCACTATGGGAGTGGTTGCTGGGATCTTAGTACAAAATGTGTTAAAGTAAGTAAAGGTTAATTTTTCTGAATAGTCCTGTTTGTTTTGATAAAAATAAATATATTTCATGAAGTATTTTAAACATTGGAATTACCAGCTAAGTACTTAATTTAGTTTTAAAATTTTAATTTTAAATATAGTACATATATTTTTTATTTTATATACTATGTATAATATGCATATACTTTGTATTTGTATGTAATATACCTTAGTAGACATAATTTAAATGGACAATTGACCCTTGAACAATGTAGGTGTTAGGGGTGCTGACCCCTGCGAAGTAAAAAAGTCCATGTATAATTTTTGCCCCCCCCCCCCAATTTAACCAGATGTCCTTTGGCATCTCCTGGGAATTGGTTCCAGGACACCCATGGATACCAAAATCCAAGGATGCCTAAGTCCCTTATGTAAAGTGGTGTAGAACAATGCATGTAGTCGGCCTTCTGCATCTGTAGATTCCCAGGGATACAGAGGATTGACTATATAACCACTGAAAAAAACAACAATCCACGTATGTGTGAATCCCATGCAGTTCAAACCCGGGTTGTTCAAGACCCAATTGTATTTTAATTAATATTACATATATTAATGCACATACATGTTTGTGTTACTCTCTGCATTTGGAATAGCTCTTGTTAAATGGTACAGTGGTACTGGTGTAATTATATTTGACTCATTAACCAAATATAAATCCCTGCAGGTTTGACCAAAGATTGGAGACTTAGGTATTAACTCACTTGTTTCCACTATCTTGATTTAATTCTTAGTAAAACTAATATAAATGTGATTAAACATTAACAAGGGTAATATATCTGTTATCCAAAAATAAATATCCACCAACTATACCATCTAAACCAGCAACTTTCAACCTTTTTCATCTCATGGCACACATAAACTAATTACTAAAATTCTGTATCTAACAAAAAAAAAATTGATTCATTCACATCAGATGGCTACTGTTGTGTTGGGCCGTTGTTATTTTTTTATTTGACAATCTAAGGCAAAAGAGGTCAGTGCCTCTGACTAAATAGTCAGGTATTGCATGTTTTAGAAATTCTTGTGGCACACTGGTCAAAAATCATTGATCTAAACTATAACTAAAAAAGACAAAGATTTCTTTACAGCTAAAATTAATGCCAAAGAGTTTTTTGAATTCACAATTGAAAGTGGAACCCCTTTAGGTGTTTCCTCTCTTAGGCCATTTTTGTTACTTTACAACCCTAATAAGCTTAGTTATGTTTCCTAAACCTCCAATATAATAAGATCAAACTGCAGTATGTTATAGGTAGACATTCTGATATCAGAAGTGTCCACTACCAGCAAAATACGGTAAAAAGTCCCTGGTCTGCGTGGCTCAGTGCTTAGAATATTGCCCCAGCACCAAAGGGTCATGAGTTCAATTTCCAATTAATTCCCTCCCTTCTACTCTCTCTAAAAAAAAAAAAAAAAAATCAATGGAAAAAATATCCTTGGGTGAGGATTAACAACAACAAAAAAGATATTGTAAAAAGCATACATAAAAACTCTTAAGGCAACTATCTAGAGCTATTTTATATAAGAGCAGATAGCTTGTAAAAACTTCAGTAGGCCTTATCTGAACAAAACATTTCATAGAATGATATGAAAAGGGCAAAAATTATGGCTATAAAGTATTCTCTTACAGTTGTGTCATATTTATAAGCCCTCTGTTAATGGACATTTAGGCTACTTACTGATTTTTTGCTATTAATAATGCTGCAAACATCTTGTCATGTATCTTTGTATATTAGATTTTCTATACAGTTTAAATTTTTAGGAGTAGAATTTCTGGGTTTAGCAAAGTTTATTTTGACAAATATTACTAAATTTCTCTTTTAAAGGGATTGTACATTTCCATCACAGCGTAGGAGTACCTGGTTCACCCACACCTTTGATATAATTTGATATCATAATATTCTTTAATCTTGGTCAATATGATAGGTGAAAATGGGTATCTCTTTTAATTTTGTTTTTGTGATCATTTGAGCACTTATATTTTTGTGTGAATTATTTGATCATATTCTTTGCTCACTTTTTTTTGTTTTTTTCTTATTGTGTATTAAAAATACACATTTACACCCTGGCTGGGTAGCTCAGTTGGTTAGAGCCATGTCCCAATTTGCCAAGGTTGCAGGTTCGATCCCTGCTCAGGGCACATAAAAGAAGCAACTATCAAATGTATAAATAAGTGGAACAACAGATCAGTGTTTCTCTCTCTCCCTCTCTAAAAATAAATTACTCAATAAAAAAAAAAAATCAATGAAACAAAAATCGATGTCTCTCTCTCTCTCTCTCTTTTCCACTCTCTTAAATGAATAAGAAAAAGGACATACATCTGCAAATATTTTTTCCTTTTGTTTATCTTATGTACATGATTTTCCCTCTAAATATAAACTTCTAAAAAGAATCAGATTTGACTGAGAGGGAGCACAGAAAGCTTTATGGCATAATGGGAATGTTCTATATTTTGATCTGGTGGTGATTACATGGGTGAATGCCTTTGTAAAATTTTATTGAGCTGTATATTAAAATTGTAAGCTTTATAGTAAGTTATATATAACATTTTTTAATTAGTTAGATTTGGTCCTAGCCAGTTTGGCTCAGCGGTTAGAGCATCGGTCTGCGGTCCAGAGAGACCCAGGTTCGGTTCCCGCTAAGGGCACGTACCTCGATTGCAATTTGTCCCCGGCCCTGGTTGGGTTGTGCGAGAGGCAGCCACTCGATGTGTCCCTTTGACATTTATGTTTCTCTCTCTCTCTCCCTCCCACTCTATCTGAACAAAAAATGGAAAAATGTCCTCAGATGAGGATTAAAAAAAAATTAGTTAGATTTGATATCATATCTCAGGAATTTTTAAGATATATTTCTTCTACATTTTAACCTCTCTAAAATCAAACTGCTGCTTAAAGTTGTTGACATACCATAGTTTAATTGGCAGCATTGTATCTTTATTAGAGGTTCAAAAAATAAGAGTTCTATTGGTCAATGGAAGAGTAATCTTTTCTTTCCTGTGTTCATTCAACAAATACCTTCTATGAGCCAGGCCCTGTAAGCAAGATAAGAAATTTCTGTTTTCTTAGTTGCTTGTTACAAAAATCATTACCTATTTCAAAATCAGTTTTTAAAAATCTGATTCTTTTAATACTTTTATCTTTTTATTTATTTAAGCCTACTTTGTTTTTTTCTAGGTTTCTGTTAAATTTTGGTACTGTTAGTTTTTACCTTGGATACAATGCAATGCAGGATTTTTTTCCTACTATGTCCATGAAGCCAAATCCTCAGTGTGATGACAGAAATTGCAGAAAGCAGCAGGAAGAATATAAGGTATACATCAATCTATCAGAATGCATGAGAGAACATATTGCATAGGATAATTGCTTAAAAAAAGAAAAATATTTAGATTTGGAGTTCAAGATAATTGGGTTCTGGGGTCTTAAACTTTTAATCTATTCACCATGCTTTGAAATGAAAATTCTGTTCAAAGTCCTTTTTTTGATATTGGTAGGATAAAAAGTCTGCCTGAATTCTTTTTTTTTTTTTTTGAATCCTTACCCAGGTATATTTTTCTGTTTATTTTCAGATAGAGTGGGAGAGGGAGGGAGGGAGGGAGAGAGGGATAGATAGAGAGAGAGAGAAACATCGATGTGAAAGAGACACCTTGACTGGCTGCTTCCCGCTCGACCCTAACCAGGGCTGGGAATGAACCATGACTGAGTTACATACCCTTGTCCGGAATCGAACCTGTGACTCATTGGTCCGCGGGCCGACACTCTAACCACTGAGCCAAACTGGCCAGGGCCTGCCTGAATTCTTGATTAATGCTTCAGAGAACTGAGAATGAGTAATAACACTTTGATACTGTTTGATTTCTACAGAAAAAGGTAGCAGCACTGCCTAAAAAGGAGGTTGTTCAAGAAGAGGAAGAGATAATACATGAAGACAATGAGTGGGGTAGGAATCCTTTTATAAATTGAAATAGCAGCATAAAACATACTTTATGGGAGGAATCTAATTATAAATAATGTTATATAACTTTTGAGTTGTTATTGCTTATTAAGTTCCTTAAAAGCTGTTTTTAAAGTCAAATTTAACTCTGTAGGTATTGAGTTGGTATCTGAGGTTTCAGAAGAGGAACTGAAAAATTCTTCAGGTCCAGTTCCAGATTTACCTGAAGGAATTACAGTGGCCTATACGGTTCCCAAAAAGGTACATCTAAAATCTAATATACCATAAGGCAATACCATGTAAAAGAAAATGTTTATCTTTCATCTTTATCCTACTTTGTAATGCCAACACAGTACTTCCTGTATTTATTACTCTAGTCATTAAGATGTGTGAAAGAGAGACATATTCAGTGCTAGTATGGACATATGCACAGCACATTTAAACTGTTTGAAAACATACATAGGAAATAGTTTTGTTCACTTATTAGTAGATTAAGTAAAATAGAGTTTGATTAAATGAAAATACCATTTTTTAAAATTGGTACTTTTGGTCACAATACAATTTAAAAGTACACTTCAGTAGATATCTCAGGAATATTGAAATTACTTCTTTGTAAATCAAAAGACTGGTGTGGGAAGTAAAGGACTTTGTCTCTCCTAAAAATTAGAAGGCACATTTACTAAAGAAAATTTACTTTTAAACTTGTTGAACATGGTTAAAGCTTACTGATTATATGTTTCTAAGCATAAATAATTCTCTATGTTTTTTTTTTTTTTACTGTTTCCCTCATTCATTGATAGCAAGAAGATTCTGTACCTGACGTAACAGTGGAAGATTCTGGTGAAAGCTTGGAAGATCTCATGGCCAAAATGAAGAAAATGTAGATAATGGACTGGACTATATTTATTTCCTGTGTTGAAGCCTATTCCTTTGCAACTTAAAAAAGTCATTCTAAAATTTAGGGCAATATCACTTGTGTAATCTTCGCTGAATTGTTATACTTTTGGAAAATACTAGGACTGTTGCTTGTTATCGTCCCACCCTTAGCTAAATCAATAACAACTAAAACTCATGTTTCATTCCAGTAAGGAAATTTCAAATGATTATTCTAGGCAGTTATACATTTTATTGAAAACTTAGCCATTGAGCCCTGGCCAATTTGGCTCAGTGGTTAGAGTGTCTGCCTGCAGACTGAAGGGTCACTAGTTTGATTCCTGGTCAAAGGCACATACCTGGGTTGCAGGTTCGATCCTAGGTTACACACAAGGCAACCAATCAGTGTGTCTCTCTCACATCAGTATTTCTCTTTCCCCCCTCCCCTTTTCTCCTCCCTTCTACTCTCTCTCAAAATCAATGGAAAAATATTCTGGGGTGAGGATTAACTAAAAAATTAAAAACATTTTTTTAATTAAAAAAAGGAATCACATAAACTATCTTAAAAAAAGAGAGAGAGAAAGAAAACTTAGCCATTGAAATGTTTTGGCTTTTTGTAAGGTATGGGAAGAAGGACCAATTTGATGTTATACATAATTCCTTTTTTTTCCCAATAATCCTTTGTGGTCTGTGACCATGGGCAATAAAGCAGTAAGTGGTCCTGAAATACAGGGAGAAAAACAAGAGGTACAACCTGTTGATTTGAACTAGCAGGTATGTATGCATTGTTTTGGAATTGTTTTCTACAACAAAACTGCCCACTACTAACTTGGCCAACAATAAATTTAAAACAGTTAAACTATAAAATAAAAACATTCTCTCAAATGTTTCCTGATTGCAAACTGAAATGTAGTCATTGAAAAAGTTGTAAACTTGTGAATTATATATTCAAAATCAGCTAGGCAACCAAAAGGAAGCTTTTTTCATGGATAGACAGATAAGTGTACTTTGAAGAAGTACAGGTTATATTTCTGCTGACCACAGAAAAGAAATCATTGCATATGTGGGGCATATATCTGGAATCACTATACTTTATTGAGGAGCAAGAAATAAATTTAGGCTAAGATCATCTAGATTATACCCATCATATGGGTTATCTTCTGAGTATTCCATTTAAATTTGATTCCCTGGTAAATATTGGCAAGGGTTTGTCTTGGATAGTGGGCATTAAAGAGGTCTAAAGTGCCTCTGAAATGACTGACATGTATTTCTTCCCTGGAAGAGGATCATTTTCCCTGATCATGACCACTAAATCACAAATTGATAAACTGGTTTTCCCTGGAGTTGCATACACATAATAAAGACTTAGAGAGCCTTGGCTGAAATAAATTTCCAATGGTTTGGAGACCAATAAAAAATGTGTAACCATTATCTGAGCGAGTGCCCATATTACTCTTCCCAGTGTCATGAAGGAGGAAGACACATAACTCAAGAGAAGATCTGTAGGCTGTTAATTATGCTAATCTCCTATTGATGATTTTGTTTTTGTTTCAAAGATATATACGTCTAAATATCTGTAGGGGGAAAATGTTAGTAAAAAAATGAAAAAGTGCATTCACCACTTGTAAAATAAAGTTCTAAAAACTGATTTCAGAAAGCCCCAAATATCAAAAATACATTCAATATATTAGATTTGAGATTCTAGGACCATATTGAATTTTTTTTTTTTTTTTGCAGTGCAGAAATTAAAGCAGTTTATTGGCAGCGTGCTAAGCAAGGATGCATAGTATGTTTAGAGTAATATCAGGAAAGGTGAGGGATAGTTTTTCTAGCCTTGAAATTTATATGTTGCCTTGGTAGGTCATTTGTCATGTTTAAAAATTGAGTGTATTCATCTATAAAATAACTTCTAATTACTAGAGATGTTTTGAATTTCGAAAAAGAAATTCAGTTTTTCTAAATTCCAGTCCTTTGTCATCTCTGGTATACTGCTTTGGTAAGGCTTTACTTATAAGTTAAATTTTAATAATTTGATAAATTATATAACTAGAACTCACTATCTTCTAAAAACCTTTTTTTCTGTTCTTGGCACTGTTCTAAGACACACTGCTGATGTCTTATATAACCAAATCATGTCTAAGTTGTCTAATTTTTTGGTATTATATCTTCCATTAAAAATAGTTATTGGATTATTTTACCAGAAAAAATCTGGTAACAGGTATCTTTTACAACCTTGAGTGTTCTCTTGACAGTCTGATTGCCATGAAAACTTGCATATGTAGGCAGCTGATTATGAGAAATTCTTACTGGATTTTACACTACTAAATAAACCGAGTGCTTGACAAGATTTATTAACACTCGTTTCTAATGTGAAAGATGGAAACACACTCCCCAAATTGTTTTAGCATAAAGGCTCTAAATTCTAGTAAAACAATATGTTCAACTTTAATCCTTTTCTTCATTGTTAATGGGAATTTGTGGTACTATTCACATATTTTATGTAGTAAAGAAAATATATACTATGAGTTTCTTGATATAAAAATACTCCCTGAATACCTACAGATACCCTGACCAACACAAAAAGGTAATAACCATTTAAGAGTATTTATTAATGAAGCTTTGACCCCCTCCCAAATTGCATGTTTAAAATTTCTTTCCATATAGTACTAATAAATAAAATTAACTACCATAATTTGGATTCTACCAATTCAGTTTTATAACTGAGTCATTGAAAGCTACCTTGTTTATTGTGAAGGTTTATATTAATGTTAATACCGTCGACCCTTGTTCATTGCGGTTAATCAGTTCCAGACTCTACCGCGATAAGTGAATTTCCGCAAAGCAGGATTCTTTATTTACGTACAGTCGTCCCTTGCCACTTCGCGCTTCGACTTTTGCGGCTTCACTCATGGTTTTTCAAATACTGTACTTGAAAAAACTGCGATAGAGCGAAGCTGCAAAAGTCGAAGCGCGAAGTGGCAAGGGACGACTGTATTCCTGTATGAGAACCTCAAATACACATCAAGAAATATCTCTCTCAGCTATTTTTTTAATTAATTTATTTTTTCTTAATTAATTTTTGTTACAGATGTTTCTTTTTCACCCAGCTATTTTTTTAAAGTAGGCATTCTATATGAAAACATTTGAGTTGCTAGTATGATCAAAATATAGTTTTAAAAATTATATTTAAACTTAAATCTGTTGAAATATAGTCATCATTCCCTCAATGTAATTAGTGAATTTTTACCACAAAGTCCCTTGAGTAATATTAATAACTGGAACATTGAAAGTTCTGCTTTCTGTATGTTTTTCAAGTTCAAATTTTGTTATTCCTACTAAATATTATTCTTTTGCTAGTTTTGCCTTTTTTCAAGGTTCTTCTAGTGTATTGATCTCAAATTTTATCCCAAAGCGACTTTTTAAGGCATTTAAACTTTATTACTTATAATGTATTAAATTAATATTAACACTAAATAATCAAATTTTAAACTCTAATAGCCTAATTATAAAATGTCTAGTATATTTGTAAATTAAATTACTTTGTGTCTTTCATAGCTGGAGAACCCAGAAAGATGTCTTATGGTCATATTTGATCTTTTTTTCCTCTTGAACTTCTCTCAAAAGGGGGAAGGATGTTCACTTTATAGATCCTAATTTCTTTTAAGTCACCACTGTAGTGCCTTAGAATTAGACCATTGCTTCTTAAACTTAACGTGCATCTGAATCACCTAGGGAGCTAGCTAAATCACAGATTCTGATTCAGTAGGTCTGGGGAGAGTCTCAAGAGTCTGGATTGTTAAGCCCCCAGGTGATTGTTCATGGACCATCCTGTGAGTGGCCAGGCTTGAATTCACCAAAATCCTATACAGTCACCAAAGCTCAAGTTGAGTGAACTACTGAGCGAGTAGTGACAATATTCAAGACCTTTTGGTAATGTATTTTTTAAAACATTTTATTGATTTTTTTTAGAGAAAGGAAGGAAGAGGAGAGAGAGAGAAACATCGATTGGTTGCCTCCGGCATTCACCCATACCGTGATCAAACCCACAACCTGGGTATGTGCCCTGAATGGAAGTTGAACCAGTGGCCTTTCGGTGTTCAGGATGATGCTCAACCAATTGAACCACACTGGCCAGAGCACAATGTACTCCTTAATTATGTAAATATAACCCTCTTGTACCAACAGGTGGAAAAAAGGGAACTTAAAATTGCACTTTTATTTTAAATGTTTTTTTTAATTGATTTTTTAGAGAGAGAGGAAGAGAGATAGAAACATCAATGTGAGAGAGAAATATCAATCAGCTGCCTCCTGCATCCCCCCCCACAATTAAGCCTGCAACCTGGGCATTTGCCCTGACCAGGAATTGAACTGGGACCTCTCAGTCCATGGGACAATGCTCAATCCACTGAGCCACGCCATCTAGGCTGCACTTTTATTTTAAAACAGTGAAGTATGGTTATTATATCTTTTCACCTTTATAATTAATAGATATTTAGAATCTTACAAGTTAAAATCAAAGATTTTATTAGATATAAATACATAAATGGTATAAAACAATATCTAAAATGTGGCAATATTTACAAAATCTATAAAAATATTTAATTTTCAGTATAAAATAGCAGACCAATTTGAGTTGGAGATAAAATGAAGAGACAGATTTAGGCCATTTAAGAAAGAAGAGAGGAGCATGTCATGTTCCTATTTTGGGTAAGGTCAGAGAATGCCAATAAGCTTTATTTGTTACTGCATTAATGACTTCAGATTATGCAGATATATACTGCACAGTAAAATAATATACAATGTAGTGAGCACAGAAAGTAGAAGGCTTGGCCCAATCTGCTCAAGGAAAATGTAGAATTAAAAGAAAATGTAGCAGTCAGATTCCTGTTACCAGTCATTTTACAGAAGACAATTCATACTTTTCATAAACATTGTCCCTTTATTCCTTGAAACTCTTTGAGGTAGAGAATTGGGCAGACTACTGCTGAAAAGCAACATAAGGAATGGTGAGGTAAAGTAGCTTTTGAGAGATGAAAACAATCAAGGAATTCTTGAACTCCCTGTCTAAACTGCTCTGCCAACTCTTGTTGAACAGACACCAACCTATTCTTCATGTCATTTTAGGATTGTAGCATCTACAGCTTTGGATCCCATACAATGGGGAAGTTAATTCTTTTAAAAATGGACAGAATCATGACTCAAACTTCAATGTAGTCCAATACAGTTATATCCAAATACTACTTACATCATACAAAGTAAAAATGTTCTTAAAGACATTTTCATAAGTTTTAAATTCTAATGCTCCAAATGTTTTTTCAGTATTCTAAGGTACATTTGCAGTGAATTGTAATTGCTTCTGCTACCTTTGTCCTTGATGAAGAAAAACATTAGGAGAATGGGTTGTTTTTACACTAAATGTATCTCCACTTGATGAGTGTCGAGAGGGAGCTTTTCCACCCAAAAGTGACGTTTCTGCTTCTTTTATTTCCATCGCCCTTTTGTATAGTTCAGCAGCTTTTTCAAAATCCCCTTCTTCATAGCTTTGAGAAGAAAGAACATCTTTTAAAGTCAGAATATAACCTTTTAACAATTCTAAATGACCTTAGAGGATACCCTCCTAAAAAACCAAAAACAATTGAACAATTTGTTCATCCCCTCCCCCGCCCCGTGCATTTATTTACTCAGAGAGCCCAGAAAAATGGAATGCCCAAACCCTTCTCTGTTCTGTTTGTACTGCTAAGGAACATTTCAGTGTTTCCTATGGACACCATTAAGACCATATTGGGATGGATGCAATGAAACCGCTAAGGGAAGTTAGGTATTCTCTACATCCTAGCCAAACAAACATAAAGCAGAAGTCAACACGTACTTAATGGTAAATTAGCTCTGAGGACAGCAAATTGCCCATATTTTCCAGACCCAGTTGGTTGCAAATGTAAAACATCCTTCACTATTTGCCATTATGAACTCTTCTGCAAAATACATTGCACAGCCTTCATTTTGCTTCTAGATACTACTACTGTATCTCTTGAAGGAAATCAACCACAAACAACCCTTCCACCTCAAAAAAATATATTCAGCAATAAGTATTTTTTGTTGTTCCATGATGAGTCAAATTTTAAAAAGTGTTCTAAAAAGTACTTTGGCTGTATGAGGAAAGTGAAAAAATTCTTACCTAAGCACAGCTAAATTTTTTAATGTTTCTCCAACTCGAGGATGCATCCGACCCAGGCTGTCTTCATAAATCTTTAATGCTCTTTCATAAAGTGGCAAGGCTTCAATATGTTTTTTCTTATTAAGAAAATTAACAACACTCACTTGAACACACTGGGTTTATGAAATTACTATTAATGCATTCTAGATTAAGCTGACCAAGTTGAGTAAGCACTTTCAAAATGTTAACATCCTCCTAAAAGATGTGGATAAATAGATTAATTTATGAGTAATCATAATGGGAGAAGCAGTAAAATAGAAAACCAGAAACTGGTTTTAGACCGGGGTTGGTAACCATTGACATGAATCCAATTAAACGCAAACTTCTTTCTTTATTACCCAGTGGGTACCTCACCTGTTTCTCACTCATCACAGGCAAATGTTGAAGCTTAACGATAATATAGATACAGAGATGTAGGTAGTCTCCAGAATTTAAAAAACTAAGCCTGTGCAATGAACTAAATATTCAGTCGGTGCTTTTACACTAAGAGGTTTATGATTTCAATATATTCTCAAGTAC